TTCCCTGTGGCAGTTCCCACTGGTGTCCATCCCTGCACAGAGATGTTCCCGTGTGTCAGTTCCCACTGGTGTCCATCCATCACAGAGATGTTCCCTGTGGCAGTTCCCACTGGTGTCCGTGGAGGGGGCACAGCTGGCACAGCTGCCCAGCGATGTGGGCTCTCCTCTCTGGAGACATCCCAAACCTACCTGGACACATTCCTGCCCCAGGTGTCCCTCCAGAGCTCCCTCCCAAGCCTTATGGTTGTCGGTCACAAGGAGGGGCTTGGTGGCCTCCTGAAAAACTAAACAAGAAAAAAAGTAACTGCTCATTGTGGCTCTCTGAACTGGGAAGAAAAAAAATGACAACAATTGATTAAAGAGCAAAAATTATCACAGATTTATTTCTGACTCAAAATCTTTTCAATTTTGCACTCTTGGCCTCATGGATAAGGAATTATATTAATTTCCAGCACACTCAGGTCGCTGCCATCTACCCAGTTTGCTTCTCCTAATAATTTGCTGTTACCTTCCAGGTGTATTTGTGGTGGACAGGTGTATATGTGGTGGAAATGTGTTTGTTGCTGTTTGAAGCTACTCGGGGAGCTCATGAGGGTGGGCAAACCCTGCCTTTTTGCCAGTTTATCCTGCCCGTTGTTTCCATGGTGTTGCCACATTCCTGAGCAGGAGAATCCCCCGCTTTTCCAGCCAGCTGAGCCTCTGGCAGGGCTGCCCAGGGAGTTTGGTTTGGAGTCCCCAGCCCTGGAGGTGTCCAAGGAGAGACTGGAGGTGGCACTCGGTGCTCTGGGCTGGGGACAGGATGGGACTGGGCACAGCTGGGACTCGGAGATTTCCCAAGCTCAGTGATTCTGTTACCTCAGTTTGCCATTCAGGAATATTTCCCCTTCCCAAGCTGGCATTTGTAATTTTCCAGGGGAAAGCTCTCTGGGACAGGGATTCTCCCACTCTGGAAGTGTTGGTACAGCATGAGGCTCCTGTGTGGAGCTTCTGTGAACCACCTATTTATTTAATATGTGCACTAAAAACACCTCTCCCTGGGTTTTTTCCCTTTGTCCTCTGGGTCTCTGGGATTGGAACAACGTGAGATTCTTTTTGTCTTTCTTCCTTGATGATAAAGTAAAATCAGGAATTTGGGGGTGAATCCATTATAATGCCTCATCCCAGTGCCAGGGGAACCATTTAATTGCTCCTTAACTCAGAAACCATCTCTGCAAGGATTTTCTTGGCCAAACTGATGGCACCAGGTGGTTCCCTGAGGATCTGGGTGCATCCTGACACACACCTGCATCAAAGGAACCTCTTGCCTTTTCTAAAGCACAGCAGAATCCCCAGCACCTGTGGTGCCTGATGGCTCATTCAGCTGCTCCCTTCCAGAACCTTCTGGCAGGAGCTGTGATTTTCCCAGGAATGCTTTCCAGCAGCGAGCACAGACACCCTGGTGGGAAGGGTGTGGTTCTCCTGGCCTGTGACCCCTCGCATTCAGGAGGAAGAGCAGGGTGAAGGCACAGTCCTGCAGATAAGCACAGCCACTGGTGATGCCTCTGCAGATTCCTCTGCTTTTTAAAACACTTTTATGGCTTTTCCTGCAGTGCTGCTTTGGAGTTCAGGCCTTTCCCTTGTGTTTGCAGTCCTGCACAGGCTGAGGTGGAATCCTGGACTCCAGCACAGACAGCAGGGCAGGGGCTGAAGGCTCAGACGTGGCAGCTGCACAACCCTGAGTAAACCACGTGTAACTTCCTCTTCCTCCCTGCTCTGGGTGTGCCTCAGGGCTCTGAGTAACAGTGAAGGCACTGGGCTTCTTGCAAGTGCTTTAATACCTGTTCATAAGTAATTTAATCCTGTGTGTGCCTCAATTTCCCACCCACCAGGGGAAAGTGTAAGAGTTCCCTGCTCCACAGGGCTGGCAGAGATAATTTTTGTCACATTTGTGAAGTGCTGAGTCGGGAGATGAGCACTGTAAAAATTTATTAATTAAGGGGTACAGTGAATGTGTTATGTGGGCCCAAAAATGTGGTCGTGGAGAGGGACTGCGACATCTTTTGGTGTGTTCCTTTTACAGATGGGCTGGGGGGATTTGGGAGCTTTTGGAGAGCCTTCCAAGGAAACCCCTAACCTAGACCAGATGGCTGCAGATGGGATGCTTTTCCTGGATTTTTATACTGCCAGCCCCCTCTGCTCTCCCTGTAAGTAAACTGCAGTTGGAACCATGTAAGCACAAGAAACATCTCCCTCTGAGGAGTTTGGGGTGTTTGCCAGCCTCTGACATGGGCTAACAACCAAACCAGTGCCTGCCCTGGGGCCAGAGATTGCATTTGTTGCTTTGATCTTGCATTTTGCTCCCTTTTTATTTATGTTTGGATTGGAAACCCGACAGTTCTCAGTTTGTACAAAGCACTGCTTCAGTGATCAGTCCAGCTAAAGGATTTTTATACCGTTTCAGTTCAGTACTCCAGCCCCAGTTATTGCATTTTTTTCATCTTTCTCATTTTGGGTTGAGCAAAGCAGGATCTGAACTCTTGCTGGACGTATTTGGTCTGATTCTTTTGGCTCTGGTGAGACTTTCATGCAAGGAAAGGCAGCAGTTTGTGTCCTGCTTTTGACCCTGGTGTCTTACAAGACTCCTGGGACAGGGACAAGAGATAAAAGAAACGTTTGGGTCTGGGAGAGGCAGATATTTTTCTCCTTGTTTTTTCTGTGAGGTTTTTTTTTTTTAAACTTTCTTTTTTTCCCCCTCAAACCTGATTAGCTGCCAAGAACTGGAGCAAAAATGAAGAATGGGGGCTTTTTATTTGGGCTCTCATTTAGGATAGCACTTGCCAGTGTGTTGATGATGTCCTTGCACAGAAAAGGCATTTAAAATAAGCTGAAATCCTGCTAAGCCAGTGGTGGCACTGCATATGCTTGAAGTTATCTGTTTAAATATTCCCTGCAGTCAGGACTTGACTTTTATTGTCAAAGCTGGACAGCTCTTTCTTTGTATTTCCTGATTTCTGTTCAGTCAAGCTCAAAAGCTTAGCCTTGAGCATCTAATCAGTTTGTGCTAGGATTTCCTCTTAAATACATAATAAATACATATATATAACTGAGATGTAAGAGTTGCTCCATTGGCTATTCAAAGGAATGACCCTTCAGTGTGGCTAATTTAATCAAGGGGCCAAATTTCAGCTGGGATAACTCCAATGATGCATCAGAACTGATTCTCTCCATGGCTCACGGGAGGGTGTGAGTGATTGAGTGGCTGGCTGTGACAAGAGGACACTGACACACAGTCAGTGTGTGCACTCATCCTCTTCCAATAATGTGAATATGAAGCAGAGAGTGGCTATAAATGAATGTTTGTGCTGTTTGCAGCGAGGGCAGCGCTGCTGACGGGCCGGCTCCCAGTCAGGAATGGCTTTTACACCACAAATGGACACGCCAGGAACGGTAGGAGCCTCATTCCTCCCCTCCCTTCCTCTGCTGCTTTCCCTCTGTGCCTTGTAGGAAGTTTCTCCTTGGGCAAAGGGGATCTTCCCCATGGATATCCCAGAGTGCCACCAAATTCTCTTAAGTGCTGGCAATAAGTGTGAATTTTATTGCTTCCTACTCATCAAGCAGAAAACCTCCTCAAATTAAGAGAACAAACCAGGATGCTTGATCATTTGTTCTGCTGACAGAGAAACGTTTCCCCTGGCCAGGGGAATTGGGGTCTGGTGAGGGAAAATCAGGTGTGGTTAATCCCCACAGAGGAGAACTGGCTGCTCACAGGTTTATTCAGCAGGCAGATTTCTACCCAGTTTTAGAGCAGTTTTCCATCCCTCCTGCCTCTGGTGCTTCCAGGGAAGATCTCAGGGGTGGTTTGGGTCCCAGAGTGACCAGTGCCATGTGCTGGGACGTGGCTGGGCAGCAATCAGCAGCCTGGGGTTGATTCCCTGAGCAAAGTCACACCTGGGAGCCTCAGGGGCTGAGAGACACTCTTGATTTCTTTCAGAATCACAGAATGAATGAAGTTGGAAAAAACCTTTGGGATATCACCCTATAATACATCAGCCCTTGCAGTCTGAGCACCTTTATTGGTGATTTGAGTTAGGGAAAGGCTGCCTTCATTTCAGAAGGCACAAAGCAAATTTACAGTGTAAAGACCACCCCTAAAGCACCTGATTTTCTCTGACATCTCCTTTTCAAGGATCTCATCTCCACTCTGGAGTTGCAGCTCCCTTTATTTCTTGCCCTCATGCACAAGTGGGTGGAAATGTCCCTTTGGTCTCTCTGGATCAGTTTATTCTCTCCATCCCATGGGAGGACGTTGAAGGAATGGCATTTCTGGGACTCCAAATGACTCTATTTCTGATCCAGTACATGAGCTGTTTGCTGTAATATTTTGAAGAGTCAGAAAGGTGTTTTTGATTTGTTTTCCACAGCATACACACCACAGGATATAGTAGGAGGGATCCCAGATTCTGAGTTACTGCTTCCAGAGCTCCTGAAGAAGGCTGGTTACACCAATAAGATCATTGGCAAATGGTAAATTTAATTGGAGATCTCTCACTTTGAGATTTCATTCTCTGTGTGTTGGGAAGGAGCAACAGAAAAACCCAGGATTACAAGGAATAAAAATCTGTTTTGAAGTCCAAATGTCCAACTTTGGAAAGTGGATGGATCTTCCCCTTGCTGGGATCAATTCCTGAGTTCCCATTACAAGTACTGACATATATCTTCATACAAAGAGTTGTTGAGGTTTTATGTGTGTATTTGTAGTTATAAACTCCTCAACTCTGGGCTTTTATCCACACCTCTCACCACTTATTTAATCAGAAAACACCAGGATATGCTGTTGGAATTTGCCTTGAGCACCCACATGGTTTTTATCTTTGACTCTTGCTATATGTTGAGTTTTTATTGATGAACTGAATTCCTGTGGAAAGTAACAGGAATTTCTTTATCAGTTTCATTAATAAGTTAGAGAAGGGTGAGTTTAAATTGTGGTTGGATTCACCTGCTGGAATTGGAAAGAAAGCAAAGCACCCTAAGACAGTGAATTATTTATCAGCACAAATCCAAGCAGGAAAATGGCCCTGAGGGATCAGCTCAGTGGGCTGGGTGCAATCAGATGCAGTTCAGTGCTAATAAATGGAAATTCATACACCCAGGGAAAAGGAATAAACAAGGCAAATGCAGATTGGTGCCAGTTCCTTGGAAAAAAAGGCAAATCTGGAAGGACCTGCAGCTGTTAGCAGGAATAGGACTAAGTAGGAATGTGCAGGGCATTATTGTGCACCCAAAAACTTCTCCTGGACAGGACTGGGAGTGATACCTGCTCCTTGGAAAGGTGTAAAGAGATGCAGGGTAAAACTAGAGCCTCATCCTGCCTCACAGAGGTTTTCCAGCTGATTTTTTTTTCCTTCATCCCTTCTAAAAACTCTTCAGGGTGTCCTGTGACAGTAAATTCCATGGTTTAATTATAAGTTTGCAAGTCAGGTATTTTCCACAACCAGCATGGAATTTGTTGTGTTTCATTAAATCTCAATTTTTTGTGCTGTAAGATGCAGAGACTGATCTGGATCTCAGTCATTGTTCAATGTCTGTAAGTTCTTTTGGGGGTTTTATAGAATAAGATGTTTTTCCATCTCCCCTGTTGTAGAACCAGCCAGGAATGACTTTGTATTCCCACATCTACAGAAGGGGAAAGCGTGGAATCCTGCAGCTCAGACCTGCAGTGGCAGTTACATCACCAAGCTGTGATCATAGCTGAAATGAGGATTCTTTCTGTAATAACTCAGTTTGGAACAGCTCAGAGTAACTCCAAGGATCATTTCACTCCAGGGAATGCTTTTTATGCCCTTTGTGCTCTGAAGGTGCAGAGGGGGATGGCACAAAGTGGACAGGGGCAGATCCAGGCTTGTGAGGGGAAGATGGAATGGTTAAATAAACACTGAGCTACCAAAATCCTCTTTAGAGACAGAGAGCATGGGAATTCTCTGTCTTCAAGGCTCTATAAATGCAGGAAATGTAGAATTTGCAGTACAAAACCTGGAGATTAGAGAGGAGCTTCATCTGGAAGTTAAGGATGGAAGATTTTCAAGCTGTACAGTAGAGAGGAGCTGTCATCAGGAGCAGCTAAATGTGTTTTATGTCCACATGTGCACACAAAAACCTCATTTCATTTCCATTCAGGTCTCTTTGTACCATTTTGGCAGCTTGAATGCTCCATAAAGGGGATGAGGATGGAATGGTGCATTTCATGAGCTCTGCCTTGTGTTTTTACAGCTCAGTGGGATAAAAGGGACTTGTCATAGATCAGAATCCTTAAGTAAAACATTATGTGCATCTCTGCAGTGGTTTGGGGCAGTGTAGTCCATCAGTGCTGATCATCAGACAGCATGGGAGAAGACACCAGTGGAAGGAAAAAATGGAAAACAGTGATTGGAGAGTAAATAAAATGGAATATAAGTGAGCACTGGGGTGAGTCTGCATGGCTGTGCTTGCAACAAGTGTGAGAGAGCTCAAGACATTGCTCTGGAGTCATTTATGTGATTGAAATGCTTTGGGTTTTGATTTCTTAGGCAGAGACTGTTCTTGCATGCTGTTCTGATGAGCTGAGGTTTGCCTTCCCTGCAGCAGAAGTTGAACTCTGCCCTGTTGCTTTTGCTGCCAGGCACTTGGGGCACCGGCCCCAGTTCCACCCCCTGAAGCACGGCTTTGATGAGTGGTTTGGGTCCCCAAACTGCCACTTTGGGCCCTACAACAGCACAGAGCGCCCCAACATCCCCGTCTACAGGGACTGGGAGATGGTTGGCAGGTAAGCCAGCTCCTTGTGGCAGCACATTCTCTCTCTCTCTCTCTGGGTTTTTCCATAGAGGAGCACAGAGAGAAGAAAGAACATTTCTATTTCTGCTCCTTGTTTTCCTATGTGGAATGTGTTTGGAGAATTGTTTCCCTGGGGTGATTGCTTGGTTGGATTCTGGTGAGGATTGTTTGAGCTGATGGCCAATCCAACCCACCTGTGGACTCTGGAGAGAAGGTCACGAGTTGTGAGTTAATTAGATATAATATATATTAGAAAAAGTAAGTATGTGACTTTAGTATCTCCTTTCAATAGTATATTAATGTATTATAGTATAGTTATAATAAGTCATTCAGCCTTCTGAGCTGGAGTAGACATCATCATCTCTTCTCACTGGGTTCACCTGCATTTACAGCAGCTCCTTGCCTGCCACTGGGGTTATCTGGGCTCTCCCTGCTGCCATCACACACCTGGATGGGCTTCAGGGGTCCCTCCAAGGCAGACCATTCTGGGATTCTGTGGTTAATAAAGGTGCAACACCATGACTGACCTGGAAGTGTCATGTGGATGGTGTAGGGATGTGGAGCTGCCCTCCCACAGCTGTTTGCTCATCCCTGGCACCCTAAAGGCTTCCACTCTTGGAAACTGCTCCCATTCTCTACTGAAAGACCTCTTTGTTCCTTCTCTTCCTGTTTGGAATAACATCTTGTGTGTTTGCACAGCTCCATTCCCTGCTCCCAGTCTGCAGTCTGGGCCCTTCTTGTCCATTCATTTTTCACTCTGCTGTTGTCTCATTTCACTGCTGTTATTTCCCTGAGCACTTCCCCAGGCCCTCCTGCTTTACTGGTGGCTGAAGATCCCTCTAAACTATTAATGTTTCCAAAGCAGCCCAAGTTCTGCTTCCAGCATTTCTCTGTCTCACTGAAAGTTGTTGTGTACTTTGGAAATTTTATTCACATTTCAATCAGCTCTTTGTGAATCACCATGAGATTTTTAAGCATTTTGCCCCCTACAGCAAAAGGCCAGTCCCTCAGATTTGTCCAAAACTTGAAGTCATTAATTTGCATTAAGCTGTGTCACTGCTTTGTCCCATAAGAACAATTATGGTGACATATTTTTAATATCTGAAGAGAGTTTGCTGAGTGTTAACTGTGACTTGTTTGTCACCTCCTTACACAGGGGAAAGAATCCATAAAAGGGGGAAAAAAAAATCCTTTTCCTGACAGTTTATTCCTTAGGATTGATTTTTTCCCTTTCTGATTCCTTTTATCTTAAGATACTATGAAGACTTCAAAATTGATCTGAAGACAGGTGAAGCCAACTTGACTCAGCTCTACCTGCAGGTACTATTTTAGTACTGCCTTCTAAGCCAAGGTGACTTTATGCCTTTTGTTTTGGAGAAATTTTGATGGCAGAGGATAAATTCATTTTTATTGTTGTTTACAGGAAGCTCTGGATTTTATTAGCAAGCAGCAGGCCAGCCAGCAGCCATTCTTTTTATACTGGGCAATTGATGCTACCCACGCTCCTGTTTATGCCTCCAAACAGTTCCTGGGCACGAGTCAGAGAGGGCTGTAAGTTCTGCTTTTTGGGGTTGTTTTAATTAATACCTCCTGCAGCTGGAACAGCCAACCTGAGCAGTGGTTGCTAGATCCAAGGCATGGATCACTCCTCAAGTGTGTGTTTGTGCTGAAATGCATTATTTGCTTGGATTGTTCTTTCATAATTTGGCTTTAATCTGAATCTCCAGGGGGAGGGGGGGTGCTCTAAGCTCCTTTGCCAGTTGTGTGAGGAATGAAATGCTGTCTGTGGCACAGATGATTTTTTAGAAGGCTTTTGTATGATTAGTGCCTGTTTTAAAAGCCTATAAATCGAACCAGCAAATAGAAAAGCACTCCTAAAAATGCAGTTTGGAGGAGGCAAAGAGCTCTGTAGACACTGGGAGTGTTGCTTCAAAGAGTTTCTAACCATAAAGAAAGCCATGTTATGGCCTCCCAGTCAGTGGCAAGGTGGGTTTGCCTCTGTTTGTGAATTTTATGGCTGAATTCCTCTGTCCAAGGGTGGCTCACACCTGAGCAAACCCTGACCCTCAGTACCCAAGAGGGGCTACTCTCTGCAGGCCAGAGACACAAAGGTTTGCAGTGGCAGCAGAAAACCTGATGCACGAGAAGGATTTCTGCAGCACAGATATAAATTAAATCCACTGACCCTTTTTTTTTTTGAGTATTTTGCATCTCCTTTTGGCCCAGGTATGGGGATGCTGTGCGGGAGATCGATGACAGCATTGGGAAAATCCTGAAGCACCTCCAGCAGCTGGGCATCAGTGAGAGCACCTTTGTGTTTTTCACCTCTGATAACGGGGCTGCTCTCATTTCAGCTCCCAAACAAGGTGAGGCTCAGCTGAACACACCTGGCCTTGGGAAATCAAGGCTTAAATCTCTCCCTCTGAGGAGAAAAGAACTCTGTGTGTGGGGTCTGTGTTATGAGGTAGGAGAAGCCTCAAAAGACAAAGTATTTATGTTGGGAATAATTTATGTTCAGTGCTTCTGGCCACTGTTGGAGGAGATGTCCTTGGCCAAATGGAATTTTTCCTGCCCCAGTGTTTCTGTTACCTGTGTGTATTTGCACTGTCAGGGAGGGAATATTCTGTAATTTATTGAGAACCAGGCTCAGTAACTTAGCAGGGTGTTTACTCTCCATCTGCCAAATCATATTTCAGCCTTCTGAGCAATTAGAGAAAGTTCAAGAGTCCCTCATTCTTTATCTCTCATAAAAAATATCAAGAAGAGAAATGATTTTTGTTGCCTAACAAATTTCCTTTTGTTTAAGTGATGGTTTCTCTGAAACAAATCACTGCAAATTGATTTTAGAACCTGCTTTCTTCTCTTTGGAGCCAGGCTTGGCTTGTGGTTATTGAGCCACAGAGCAGGGAGTAACCTGAGTTCTGATTTCAGCTCAGCCACTGGCTTTGACTTTGTGTGACCAGGAATCAGTTATGAGACCTCCCTTATTGTTCCTTGGCCAGCTGAGCTCCAGGGTTGGTTAAAATTCCAGATATTCCTGCAAAGCCATCTCTGAGTGACCGTTCAGGGAATGCAGGATTATTTTTCTCACTGTTATACCTTCATCTAATATTGTTCTGGTACTATAAAATTTAAAATCATTATGAAAAAAATGCTATTTCTGCTTGAAATGGTCAGATTTCCTTTGGTTACAGACAGCAGTTAACACCCTTTGAGGGAAGGAAAACACCAGTGAGGTATTTCCTGTTTGTCTGGGGTTTGTTTTTAATTTGGTTGTTGATAGCAAGGTGTGTTTAACTGTCACTTTCTCCCTGTGCTGAAAAGACACTCCTAAAATTTCATCACAAATGGATATTAAAAAAAAAAAAAAAAACAAACCAAAAACAAAACCACAACACAACAAACAAGACGACAATGACAAAAAAACCCCAACTCTGGCCATGTCATTTGAAGAAGCATCCTTGCAGAATTGAGAATTCATTTCAAACCAGCCTGGGTGACAGTGTCCTTTTGAAATGCTGGTGTTTTGTGGGGTTGAAGGCTTTTTTTCTGTGCCTAGGAGGAAGCAATGGGCCTTTCCTGTGTGGCAAACAAACCACCTTTGAGGGTGGCATGAGGGAGCCAGCCATCGCCTGGTGGCCCGGCCACATCCCTGCAGGAGGGGTGAGTGTCTGCCTCGGGCACTTCTCAGCAGCCTGGGGGGCTGCAGGGAGTGGGGAGCTCCTCGCTGGCCTGGGGGGGCTTTGCTTCCCACTTTTACCGTGCCCCAAGTCCCAGTGTTTGTGTGGGTAAGGAGCTGCTGCTGCCCCAGGCAACTTCCGATGCAAATTTCCATTTAGAGGGTCTGTGCTCAACTTTGCTGTGAGCATCCAGGCTCTGCTCTTGTCTTCCTGCTCTTTTTAAACCCTCTACTCTTTTGGACCTTGCTATTTCTCATGTGTTTGAACAAACTGGAGTATAAAGAGCAGGAATTTGTTCCCCCCACTCTCCATGCCCTGAAGTACCAAGAGGTTTGACCCTCATTTTGGTGCTTGATGAAAGTTCCACTCAGGGAGGTTTAGACACCACATTATTGCTCTGTGCTGCCTGTACACAAATGCAGATATGATCACTTCAAAATATCCCCTCGGTGGCACTGCCAGCCCCCCTTGTCCCAGCTCTCATTACAGAAGGATGCAATCAATCCTGCTGCAGGATCACAGGGACAGCACAGCCCCCTCCCCCTGGTGAGCATCCCTGAGCCCTGCAGAAAGTGATCCTTCATTAACTGGGCACCGTGCTCGAGCCTGCAAACTGGTCATAAATAAAACATTTGTGGAACTTGCATTCCATGGGGGTGGTTTAATTGAGGCAGGCTAATGATAATTTATCATTTACATTTAGAAGGGACCATGAGGCAGCTCAGATCTGCAGCTGAGGGCAGGAGGGTGGTTTGGTTTCATTATTTTTCGAGAGTTCACCAAACCTACCAAGGATGGTTTATTATTTTTCTAATTTGAAATGAAAACAGTCATTTTGTTTAAATTTAAACATTTCCATAAAGCCTTTGCAAGCCAAGTACAACAGCCCTGGGCTAGCAAAGGAGAACATGAAACTGCAGCTGAGTGTTTTGTTTGCTGGGTCCAAACTAAATAATGTGATAAAAGTAAACACGCATTATAAATGGGGACGAGAAAATGCCCAAATTTAAAAATTCTTTCCATTGTAGTAACTCTGAGGATAATTAAGAACAGGAGGAGAGAGGAATCCTTGTGCCTGCTTCTTTTCTGCCTGGCTGGGACCCCTCTCCCAGGTAGTTTTTGGGAGATGCTGCTTGAATTCCTGGGAAGAGGCATTGCTGTGCAGAGCTGTGTGTGCAGGGTGGGCTGGGCAACTGAGCTGTGCCCAGAGCTCCCAGATTTTGGGATGCACCCAAAATCCCTCTCCCACCATGCCAGTGTCAGCCTTAAGCACGTGCTCAGCTTCAAACCCTCCTTATCTGCTGCTCAGGAACTGTGATAGAAACTCACCTGTGTTTTCTGCTTGTGTTCTTGCCTTCGAGGCTCCAGCACTGCTCCCTCAGCAGCCCTGACCACAGGTGAGAGACTTGTGTCCACCACTACACTTCTGGCTTTTTTTCTGTACCTTGCTGTAGCTTCACCATCCTCTGGAGGAGTTTTAACTGCTCAGCCCCAGTCCTGTGCACTCCAAGTAGCTGTGAAATGTGGGAAAGCTGCTTCAAAGTCTCTCATTGCTCCTACTTGTCAGGAGCTGAAGGAAGCAAAGGCTTGGGAGATGTGAACTTCAGCACAAAGCTGAAGGGTCAAGTCCTTCCTGTGCTGGGCTTGCTCCCAGGGCTGTGGTTGTTCCTTTCCATTTGAGGAGCAAGGGAAGGGTCAGGAGCTGTCTCAGGTGGAACAACTGCAGCCAGGAAAGGAGAGTTTGCGTCTCTGGCCAGTGAAATCCAGTTATTGTGTGGAAAGCTCTGTCTGCTGATGGGAATGCTCCTGGGAGACCTCACTGCAGCCTTGCAGTGTGTCGGGAAAAGGAGGGAAAGGGACTTTTTATATGGGCAGATAGTGCCAGGACACAGGGAATGGCTCCCACTGCCAGAGGGCAGGGTTAGATGGGGGATTGGGAAGGATTCCTCCCCTGTGAGGGTGGGGAGACCCTGGCACAGGTGCCCAGAGCAGCTGTGGCTGCCCCTGGATCCCTGGCAGTGCCCAAGGCCAGGCTGGACAGGGCTGGGAGCAGCCTGGGACAGTGGAAGGTGTCCCTGCCATGGCAGGGATGGCACTGGATGGGCTTTGAGGTCCCTTCCAACCCAAACCATTCCATGATTCCACCTGGCAGTTTGTTAATAATTTTATTGACCCATAAGGCTGGGGGGGGTTGTTTTTATTCAAGAGTTTTTATTCCTGGAATACAGGAGCTCCTCGATCTGAGCACAAGGAGTGAGGCACAGGGTGGGAGCACCTGCCAGGCTCTCCATGGAGCTGGGGATAATTGGTGCAGTTGGCTGGTTTGCAGGTTTTTGGAGGGGAAAGATGCCTCAGGAGTGTGTGTTGCTCTTGGCATCAACACTCAGTGAGTTCTGCTCCCCACCAGGAATATTTATTCCCACACAAACAGCCTGGCTGCACTTCCCTCCTCAGCTCCGTTTTCCAGGTGAATTCACAACAAATCAGCGTTTCAACATTCCCCACATCACATCTGCCTTCTGGAAGGATCCAGCTGGAAAAAAAAAAATCATATTCTATTGGTATTTGAATCCTCCTCCTCTCTCCCCTCGCCCTCCTCCCCTTCCTCTCTCGTGCCTGCTTCCTGAAGGAGAAAAGAACATATCAACCCAAAGACAGCATTGCAACCTTTTCTTCCCTATCTCCCATGGGGCGCAAATTGAAATTGAATTAGACAGGGATATCAGGTCTGCTCGCTGTGATAACTGTAAAAGGATTTTATTTAAAAACACCCTGACATTTGTTCACCCAGTTTCAAATATTTAGCTTTCCTCCTTTCCATTCCTGGCGGGGGCGACTTTATTAATTGTCGCCTTTGATTCAGAGTTAAAGCTTGAAAGCACTGATAACAGCACTGGGGACTATTTCTTCCAGCGCCGTGGCCCACAGCAAAAGGATTTCATTTTCTTAAAGACGTTGTGTGGATACTGAGAGTTTATTAAAAAGAAGGGGGGGGAAGGAGGGGGGAAAAAAATCCGTCCTTACGTGCGTAATACCGGCTGTTCCTCACTGATACAGCAATATCTGATCTCCCTCCATTTATATATTATTTATTTTCTCTGGGCTGTTGCCCTCTCTGGATTTTTCTTTTTCTTTTCTTGAAAAAAAAAAAAAAGAAATAAATAAAAGGGAAATGCAACTAGAATGAAAGAGCCCTGTTGACAGGAGAAAAATGGTATTTTTTTTATTTTTTCTCTGAAAACACTTCAAAGTTTTATATGAACATTAACCTTTTTTTTTTTTTCTCCTTTTTCCTTCTTCAATGTGGTGCTGCAGAGCACAGATAAATCCAAGTGGCTGTGGCATGGGCATTTAATTTCCTTAAGAAGTTTTCTCTGCTTCACGGCAAAAATGTTGTCTGAGACCAGAAACGTAATTGGATGATTAAAGAGAGTCATCTACATCTGGTGCTGGATAATAAGGGCCAGGACAAGGGGAGCCTGGTGGCCCCCCAGGATTGTCCCCACGCTCTGGATAAATGAGGTGACATTAAAGGCACGAGCCCGGGGTCAGCAATTGCCTCTTATCAAAAGATTGAGGCGCTGGGACGGAGCCACAACAGGAAAAGTGATTTTTGGATTAGATGGAGAAATTGTGAGAGCTCTGATTACAAAAGGGCTCAGGCAGGGGCTGGCTCCTGGGCTGGGTGGGAGGAGCAGGAGGGGTTGGAGCTGCTCCTTCTGTGGCTCTGCAGGTGGGAATGAGCCTGGGAGGAGCCCCCAGGGCTGGGAGATGTTCATGGCCTCAGCTTCAGCCCTGGGGACAGAGCCAGAGGGACCTCAGCCATGTCCCTGTGCAGGGACAGGGATCACAGAGACCTCAGCCATGTCCTTGTGCAGGGAGGGGACAGGACAGGGCTCAGAGGGACCTCAGCCATGTCCCTGTGCAGGGACAGGACAGGGCTCAGAGGGACCTCAGCCATGTCCTTGTGCAGGGACAGGACAGGACAGGGCTCAGAGGGACCTCAGGCATGTCCCTGGGCAGGGAGGGGACAGCCCAGGGCCCAGGCTCTGCTCCCAGGGCCCAGCCATGGCACAGGAGGGATGGGCAGGAACTGATCTCATGGAGTTCCACCTGGACATGAGGCAGAGCTTCCCCATGTGCCCAGAGGAACATCCCAGACCTGCCTGGACACTGTCCTGTGCTCTGGGATTGCCCTGCTGGAGCCAGGAGGTGGGACTGCATGATTAAAATAATTTTAAGGAGAGGAAAAGGCTGCGCTAAAATAAAGAATAAATGTTCTCCAAACCCCATCCAAGCTGGCCTTGAGCACTTCCAGAGCTGGGGCAACCACAGCTTCTCTGGGAAACATCTCCCTTTGTGCCTGCCCCCAAGGCTAGGCTGAGCAGGACCTTTCCCAGGCTCTGGCCATGGATAAATCCCAAACTGAGGGCCCAGGACCTCAGCTGATCCAGCTGCTTTCCCAAGGATCTCCACAGCCAGCTTTCCTCTGGTGCTTCAAGCTTTGCACTTTGTTTCCTCCCAAGGAATTGTGGCAGAATTCTTGCATGCAGCTTTAATAAGATGTGTTCCTGCCAACACCTCCTGATGAATGAAAGCCATTAAAAATTGAAATTACTGTAATCAAGTAATGTGATATTGTAATGTTAAACTTGTAATTAGGCCCCTGCATGTTGCTTTCTCCAGTTCTTTTTTTTTTTTAATTTTCTTAATTCTTTCTTTGTGTTCACTTTGTTCAGCCCAGCCTCTTAATACAAGGTTTAGGATCCTTTTTTTCCCCTATATTTTTGAGCCAGCATCTCATAAAAATTAATTTATCGTGTCATCATTTGTTGCATTTAAATAATTTGTGTCAGCTTAGAGGCTGGGGGTCTGTTTGTGAGTAGAAGGAATCAGAGGTAAAAGGTCTTTGATAGTCCCAATATTGTTCTGTTGGGATTGGACTTGGATTTTAGTCAGAAAGTGCTTTGCTGCTCACAGCTGTGGGGTTGTATCCAATGGTTTCTTGTTTCCCAACAAGTGCTGTTGCTGAAAATGCTCTTTTCTTGTCACATCTTGTGCTGGTGCCTCCTGGTGCTCCTGATCTGCCAGCATCTGCTTTAACTGAGTGTGTCACTGACTAATTAAACACCCTGCAACAACGGGGAGGGAGCAAAGACTCACAAAGAATCAGGCAGAACAGACTTTGCAGGGTTTTAAAATATAAATAATTAAGAGCATAGAGATGAGTATGGCTTCCAAGTAAGGAAGGAGGGGAAAAAACCCTTGTACATCTCCATTGAAGCCAAACCCAGATGTTTTTCTCCCTTATTAAAATATGGACTAAAAATACCACAACTTTACAGTTCTTGAATTGTTGGAAATGGTTTGCAGATGAAGTCATCAGGCTCTTTTTGTTATTATCCATCTATCCCTGTGCTTTCTGGGAACTCTCTCAGGGTATTCTGGACTCCAGAGATGACCTGGAGAAGGGAACAAATCAAGGACTTTTTTTTCCCTTGGTGTAAGTGCTGATTTTTCAATCCGCAAATGAGCTGGAATTTGCTAAATTAAGTTGAGCCCTGTGACAACACACTCCTGGAAAAGGGATACACAGGAGTGAGGAGAGGGAGAGGAAAATGGAAAAAAAAAATCAAAATGCAAAGTCTCCCTGGAAATGGAGAAATTGGGATTGTTTCCTTTGCTTTATTGTTTTCAGAGGAGTTTACTGGTGACTGCAGCAGTGTGAAGGGAGAGGTTTTCAGGGAGCTTTGAGGGAAAACCTGTTTCCATACGGATTTTCCTGAAGGGCTCTTTGCAGATGTGTTTCTGTTGATTTTTTTGGTTGCAGGTCAGCCATCAGCTGGGCAGTGTGATGGATCTGTTCAGCACCAGCCTCTCCCTGGCGGGTCTGCAGCCTCCCAGTGACAGACAGATTGATGGCATCGACCTTTTACCTGTCATCCTGCAGGGCAAGCTAATTGACAGGTCAGTGATTATCCCAGAGCTGCCAGCCCTGCTCCTGCCTGAAGGGATGCCAGATTTGGGGCTGGTTTTTTTTAACACCAGCTCCCAAGTGTTGAATGGAAGCTGAATGCACAGCAGCAGCAGCAGCAGCTTCCCACTGCGCTCCTGCTCCGCTGGAACAAGCTGAGCTGGGAATTCCTGACATGTGGCATGTTGCCATACAGTGGAGTCTGGGGACAGATGAAAATGTCACAGGGTTAGCAGGGATCCCTGGAACAACATATGGCAGGAGGGGAGATAAAAGCCTGAGAACTGGAGCCTGGCTGGGGGAGAATCCATTATTTATCCCTGCAAAAGCTGCCCAGAGCGTGCTGGGTCCTTGTCCTGCTGCAGAGCTGGGAGGTGAAGGCTGTGCTGCTGCAGAGGACCTGGAAACAGCAGGAAAATCCTCTTCCCAAGGTCCTGAAGAGCTTCTGCAGGAATAGATTTGGGTGAAAGACCTGGAGTCGTTATGTGCTGTCAGGTCTTGGGCACAGGCACCAAGATCTGACAGCAAATCCGGCCAAAAAACTATTTTATTGGAAGTGTCAGAGGTCAAGAGAAGTCTTGGAGTTGGGATTTTGGTGAGGAATTTGGCAATTTGGCAGCCTGGAAATTCTGACTACAGTCATATTCTTTGGGAGATAACAAGGAAACTTATGCATGGAAAACATTTTTGGAGCTCTTTTCTTTGTTGGATGAGAGCCTTTGTGCTGTGAAATTCCTTTTGTGCCTCTTAAGCAAGGAGCACACCTGAGTGTTACCTGACAGGAGCCTTGCAAGTTCCTCACACACAGCCTGGCCCATCTCCTGGAAGTTTGGGAAGTTTCTTTGTTGTTTTAAAAGGGAATTTCAGTGCAGTCACCAACCCCTTGCTTGTGTTACAATAACAGTCACTCAAAGCACGTTGTGGCTTTTTTTCTTCATTTTATCTATCTTTCTTTTTTTTTTTTCCTAGACATGACCAGGACAAAGTTTTCACAGTTCCCCAAAAACTTTCCAGGAGATACAGTTTTTGTGTTCTTTCAAGTGAAAGGAAAGTGAATGGGGGAGGAAATAAATAATTTCTGTCAAAATACTGAGTACAAGCTGGAATCCTCATTTGAAACAGAAAAAGTGGTTTTTTTTAATGAAAAACTTAAAACCTTCAGTCAGGAGGGCACATAATAACTGATCAGATATTGGCCATTGATGGCAAGGCAAAAGAGACTGGAGTGTTGTCTGGAATATTTTTGGGAGGTTTTGTTGATGGCACTGGTTTGTATCAGGTGCTGCAGTTTGGCAGCTCTCTCTTGCTGCCTTTATTTCACTCCCAGGTGCATTAAGGATGCAGGAATGGCTTTCTGGGAGCAGCTTCCCCTTCTTCCTGGGAACCAAGTTGTTTTCCCTTTGTTCCTGGTGACAAAGTTGTTTTCCCTTTGTTCCTGGTGGCAGCTCTTGGTGACAAAGGAGGGAGGCTCATTGTTACTGTGAGGCTACAAGAGCTCTGGGGCCACTCCTGTCATTCATGCGGGGATATTTAAATTTCACCTTGCATTTAGGGACAGGTTTTTCCAGGTGGCATCGCCAGAGTGACTTGGTTTTGGAGTGGCATCTGAGAAGGAAAGACAAAGGTTCCCCCTGACAAACAGCTTCACCCTCCTGTCCTGTCAGCAGCCCAAAAGAGCTGGAGAGAGGAGCTGCACCAACAAATCAACCCCTTCTCCTGCAGATAGTCCCTTCCAGTAAAATTCTGTGCTGTTCCCCTCAAAAAAACCAGGAGTGTTTTGTTGGGAAAACCAGCAGGAATGTTGCTGGCATGCCCAGGGAACAGCACAGATGCAGCGAGTGAGATGCATTTCCTGGATGAATTATTAATTAGGGAAACCTCTGGGAACAAGTGCAGCTTTAGCAGCATGTTTACATGCTGCAAAGTGAAGTTTGGGGGGGAAAAGATGGAGAGGAATTAAAACCACAGCATGTCTGGCTGCCAGGTTTTTCCATGTGGAGTTTCTCAGAGATGTCATCCAGAACACACCGGCATCTGGTGTCCTCCTGGCCACCCTGCCCGTGTGGCACTGCCAGCTCCACGCTGCCCGTGTGGCACTGCCAGCTCCGTGGCAGAGCTGTGGAGCTGGGCAGAGGAGCCTGAGCATCCCAGAGCCTGTGAATCCCCCTTTTCCCTCCCAGGCAGGCACTTGAGAGCTGTCAGACGCTGGAACCGCCACGCTCCAGAGGAAATCCCAGGGGCTGAGAGTTCAAGGATTAACAATCACTGGCAGCCAAGCTGGATAATGTTTCATTCTTGCACCGTGTGAGCTCTCAACTTGATGAACACTTTAAGAAATGTTAATTGAAAACCTTGCAGAGGAGACTATTAGGAGGCAGCCTGTTCCTGCCTGATATCCACATGGGAAGTGGGATGCCATTAAGGGGTTTGTGGCCCTTATCAGGAGGCTGGGCCCAGGCTGTTGGTGTTTCTCATGCGGCTCTACTCTCCTTCCAGGCCCATTTTCTATTATCGTGGCAACGAGCTGATGGCAGTGAGAGTTGGGCTTTACAAAGCTCACTACTGGACCTGGAGCAACTCCTGGGAGGAGCACAGCAAGGTAATGGCACAGGGACCTGGCCTGGAGTCACTGGGATCCTGGGGACAGACACCCTGGGAACTGGGGGATGTCACCATGCTTTGGGCTCCTCAGAGCTGCTGTGCAGGTTTCTGTTGGGTACCAGGAATATTTCTGCCCCAAAAGGGCTGTCCTGCCCTGGCACAGCCTCCCAGGGAGGTGGTGAGTCCCAGTCCCCCTGTTTAACAGCCATGTGGATGTGGCACTTGGGACATGGATCAGTGGTGGCCTTGGCAGTGCTGGGGGAACAGCTGGACTCAATGACTTTAGAGGATATTCCAACCTAAATTATTCTGTGCTCCTAAAAAACCTGAGGGAACTGGACCCCCCACCCTGAAATCGGGGACAGAGAGAGGAAAATGAGCAAATTCCAGGTTGTTCTGAGGGATGCTCCCTTTAATCAACTCTTAATCCCCCTTAATATTGAACTGAATTTGGAGCTTTTAGATGCTCACCCATGGTTGGACTCCCTGATCCTTGTGGGTCCCTCCCAGCTCAGGATATCCTGGGAAAGGCTGGAGCCTGATGCCACACTGACCACGAATGTCACAATTGCTGGCACAAAACACCTCCTTTGAACTATTGAAATGGAACTGGGACGAGTTTGTTGGGTTTGTGATGGTTTAAAAGGAAAGCTGTAGGAAAGGCACAGTGGAAAATACAGCAGTGGTTGAAAGCAGTGAAATAAACGTGTTTAATCTGTTATCAGCACTTCTTTGAGCCCACATCACACTATGTACAACATTTTATTTATCTCCTGGCTGATCTCCTCACAGTTAGATGTTAAGCACTATTATTTCCTTTACTTTTTGTGTCTTTTCTTGGCTCTAAACTCTGGGGCATTTGCTGAGTGGCAGCTTCACACGTGTGCCATGCTGCAGATCCCTTTAGACAGGAACCCAGAGCACTGAGACCCAGCTCTCAACAATCCTGACAGCAGCCTGGGCTTGGGGAGGGATTGTTTGTATGATTTATTTTGTTTCTCTCTTTTTTTTTTTTTTTTAACTTATGGAAGGTCCTCAAGGCATCACAGGTGCAGAACTAAGTGCTGGTGACATTTGTGGATATAAAAGTGCAGGGATTCTTTCACTGGGATGTCCTGGGGGTAGAAGGAAGTGTCAGCTCCAAGGGAGTAATTTCCATTCAGGGCTGTAAATGTGTGTTTGTCTTTTTTCAGACTGCAATGCTTCAGGAGTCAAAGCTTGTTTTACAGGGAGCAAGCAGGAAAGGAAAGTTGGCTCTAGAAATGTTTTTTATGCTCTGTCTCAGTGCTAATTCCACGCAGATAAAATGAGATCATTTATTTGTCTTGTGTGTGAGTAAAACCTGTTTATCACCCGTGGAGGCTTTTCCCTGGGTGGGAGGAACTGGGAGCTCCTCTCTGTCTGTGTGTTTGGGTGCAGGGGTGGCAAATTCCCAGAGGAATTCTTGCTCTCCGTGGTGATAAAAGCACATACCCACACTTCCAGTTGGCAAATAAATAAACCCCTGCATGGAACTCAACTCATTCCTACATGTCTGAGTGTGGAACGGTGATAATGGGGACCAGCTACTCCTTCCAGAGGCTCTCCCACTGTGAGCAGTGGCAGTGCTGCAATTAAGGAATATTTATTTCTTTCCAAGTCTTTGTTTAACTGCTGTCTGATAAAAGTCAGCAATTATCCTGTACATCAGAGAGACGATTACAAATCCACTCTCCTTCCTGCAGCTTGGATCACATGAGCTTGATGTGGGGAAAATTGGAGCACATTAGTGGCCAGAGCAGCCATTAACAACACAGCAGAGGAAGCTGAGGCTGAGATTTGTTCCAATTCTCCTCATGTCTTCGAGCCATTAATTACAAACCTCGCAAGTTTAAAAATAGAAATAAATCAGAATGCAGAGCAGCTCCACAGCTCCCAGCCCTGCTGGAGGAGTTTCTAAGCTCACCTTACAACACAGTTCCCTCTTTCAGTAACTGGGCTTCCCAGCTGTGTTGATATTGGACTCTGGAATCAAAAAGGCCACTTTGTTTGCTAATTCCATTTGAAAAACAACTATAAATCCATGCACATCTGTGGCATTTGGAATTCTGACTGTTGGCTGTTTGTTCAATAAGGTTGACTTGCCATCCCAGTAGAACTCCAGCTAATGAGGATTTGTTAATTGTATGATCTTTAGAGGTCTTTCCTCATTGTGAATCCAGTGAGACTTCCAGATATGAAACTCCCTGTGTGAAGGTCCCCACTCAGACCTGGAATATGTGGTTTTCCTGTCATCCATTGGAAAGAGAGCTGAAGTTGGCCAGATGTGGCAAAACATCTGCCTGCACATTTTGGAGAGGTTTGTTTTATGGGTAGGGGAATATTTCATGGTTTTTACAGACAGGGTTCAGCCAGCCCTCCTTTCACTTTCAGAATTCCCTCGGTAATTGACTGTTTGGAAAAGCACCGATACAGTAAAATTGCCCTGGGTTTAATCCACATTTTTGTTCCACTTTCAGACGGGATTATCTCATGAAAGCAGCCAGAACCCCATTTTCATGCTGATCCTGGCAAATGGGGAGCTGGTGCCTGTCCTGGGCCTGTTTGGGATGGCCAGGAGGGTGAGGGAGGACGTGGCCCCTCACCTGCAAAGCTGTGTTTGACTGGGGTGGGAGTTGGTTCAGCAATAAAGGATGTACACACAAATAAAAATGTACCAGGGAGACACAGCCTGCAGAAAGCAGAGCCTAGCAAAGCAGAACAGGGCTCTGAAGGCTCCTCTCCATCTGGCACTCGGAATATTGACTCTGGAAACATCCCGTGCAGGCAGCACGCAGCTTTGCTGTCATCCTCCAGTCCCATGACAGCAACGTGCCCTTACTGGTCTGCATCCTCTGCCTTATGGCCTGGGATTAGGGCTTGTCATCTGACACACAGATGAATTGTGCTCTTCTGTTCTTCCCAGGTTTTGTTTGTTTATTTTTTAACCCCCAAGCAATTTTTTTTTTCCTAGTCTGACTCCTGTCAGGAAGTCTTGTAGTCTCTCTCGGTGCTGGAGGATACCTTGATGCTGCCTTTGCTGCTGGATGAACTGGATTTCTTGATTCTTGAGGGGGTGGTCTCTTGAAGGCATGAAGGGAAGGCTCACTCCACAGAATCGAGTGGGAGTAAGCATTTTGTGGGACATTTTCTCTGAGGATTGCACAGGATGCTTATTTGGAGCTGTTTACCTGCCTTCCATCTATATAGGTGGCTCATGTTTACATAATTTGACATCTCTGACATTCAAGAAGTGATAAATGGGACAGAGGGAGATGAAAGGAAGCCTGACTTGAAAAATGTGTTTGTATTTTTAAACAGTTTGATAAAGGCAGGAAAATCTCCTTCTGCACACGGGCTGAGTCCCTGCTGCTCCAGGACTGGTGGATCTCAAGCTTTTCCATTGTTGTTCACCTTTTTTCTTGTAGCAAAAATCAGCAGTGATGAAAATTGCCACGTGTGCAGGAGCAAAGGGAGAACTGAGGAATAAACCTGGGGAGATCCCTTTTGGACAGTGAAATGACTTTTACTGGCAGTCACCTGTCAAATACTGGGTTTTTTTGAAAGTAAGGGGTCTGAATGGGTAAAAAATGGGTGTTTTCTATAAATTTACCACAGTAGGCAGCAAGTCCTCAGGAATTTCCTAATTTAGTGCTGCATAGAGGAGGCAGGAATGGGAGGCGGCAAGAGAAAGGAAATTTCCTTTTCTCTGGCTCCCACCAAAAGCATCCAGCACAAAACTGCCCTTGTACCTCCCAAGAGCACTGATGCAAGAAGGGGAAAAAATAATGAAGGGGAAAACGTGGAAAACGCCTTTTGGTTGTGGGAGAGGGGCTGATAACATCAACCTTTGTGCTGTCAGCTTGTTCGGAGCCTTCAGTGGGATTCCTCGAGCGCTCCTGCGGCTTTAAAGGCTGCGTGGAGGCGCCGCTATTGTTTTAATGCGAAGTGCCAGAGGGGTTATTCCAGTCAGGCTCTGCGATTGCCCTTCTCCCGCACGTGGAGGGATCGATAAAGCCTTTTCTGAGCCGGGGATGTGAAGTCAAGTAGAACCTCACAAATAATGACATTTGATTTTGGTTCTCTAAGCATGTGAGCCAGGCATCGATCGGAGCTCGCTGTGCTGCCCATCCAGGGGGCTGCCCATCATCCCTGGGGGGATGTCATCATCCCTGGGGGGATGTCCATCATCTCTGGGGAGATGTCATCATCTCTGGGGGGATGTCATCATCCCTGGGGGGATGTCATCATCTCTGGGGGGATGTCATCATCCCTGGGGNGATGTCATCATCTCTGGGGGGATGTCATCATCCCTGGGGGGATGTCATCATCTCTGGGGGGATGTCATCATCCCTGGGGCTGCCCATCATCCCTGGGGGGATGTCATCATCCCTGGGGGCTGTCCATCATCTCTGGGGAGATGTCATCATCTCTGGGGGCTGCCCATCATCTCTGGGGGCTGCCCATCATCTCTGGGGGCTGCCCATCATCTCTGGAGAGATGTCATCATCCCTGGGGGCTGTCCATCATCTCTGGGGAGATGTCATCATCTTTGGGGCTGCCCATCATCTTTGGGGGCTGCCCATCATCTTGGGGGATGCCATCATCTCTGGGGCTGCCCATCATGTCTGAGGGCTGCCCATCTCCTTGGGCTGCCCATATTTGAGTGCTCTTCCAGCCTCTTTAACACATCAGAAGCATTTTTGGGTGCAGGAGGTTGAAGCCCGGCACCCCCCTTGCTCATCCCAAGGAGATTTTCACCAGGAATGGCCAGGAGGCTGTGGCAAACAGCAAGAGGTGACATTCCAGCCTTGAACTGACAGCTGGGCTTTTCTCCTTGCAGTGTTCAGCTGCTTTTGGTGCCCTGGGTGGTGCTGGGGGAGCAGGAGGCAGAGCTGGGCTGAGGTGGCTCCTACTCCTGCCAGCCTGAGCTGGGCTGGTGCCAGGCTGAGGAATTGCCAGAGGGCTCCCGTTAACACAAGTGGTGATTCCATCTCTTGGCAGGGAGCCCAAACTGGCAACTGGCTGTGTTTGTCTCATGTCTATATTGACACAGCATCTGTGGGCCATTTGCTCTGGAAATTAAAGCTGTGCAACCAAAGGCTGCTGCATGCCAGGGATGGAAAAACAGCCCGGGCTGTGTGATTGCTGAGCAGGACAGGCGTGGTGGTCGCTGGGAGGCTCACCTGGTGGGCAGGGAATGTCGTGTTTTGATCAGAATAATGGAAAGAAAGGATTGTTGGAATCTCTCCTGCAGCAAACAGGTTTTTGTGCTGTGCAAAACACTGTAAGAGCAGCGAGCTGAGCTGCTCTTGATGCTCTGTGTGGGCTCCCTTTAGAAGGCAGGAGATGCTCCAGACAGGAGCTTCTGGTTTGGCTTTCAGCCTTTTGTGATGCAGCAGAAAAGCCCCGAGAGTTTGCTGAAACACGGGGAGTGGCCTTTGTGCAGGGTTTGATCAGTGAGCCCTGCAAATCCCAGAGCCCCGGAGGCTGGAAAAGCTCTCCAGGGTCACCGAGTCCATCCTGGGACAATCCCCAGGTGTGAGCACTGAGCCACATCCAGTCCTGCCCTGAGCACCTGCAGGGATGGGGACTCCACCCACTCCCTTGGATAGGGAGCAGGGACAGAAATCAGGAATGTGCTTAAATGATTGATCCCTGCACATTGCTATGGACAGTCTGACAATAAACAGCTTTTAGGGATAACAGGAGAGTGGCACTGGGTGGTGTTACCCTGCTGGGTGGGACAGGCTTAGGCAGCTCTTGGCTCTTCTCAGCTCCAAACATCACCAAACCTACCCATACAAAAGAAATAATATTGAATTTTATATATTTATATATATGTTTTTACTAATTGGTTGATGAGTAGGTAGAAAATCTTTGAAGCTCTCTCTGCAGGTTGAATATTGACTCACAGAGTAGATAAAAATAGCAATATTCCATTTTATTTGCAGGGATAAAGTTGGAATGCCTTAGAAATGTCCTAAAATTGTATTCTCGGAGTTTTATTTACTTTCCTATTTATTTATTTGACTTTTCTCCAGTAGACTGCTTTTCAAGAGGGCATTGAGTGCTTAAATTAGAATGACAGGTGGCTTTGGGCTGGTGGCATTGGGAAAATTGTCCCAGCATTTTCTTTCCTGGGAATCTTTGGAATTGTGTTTTGGAGTCTGGGCTACAAGGATTTCCTGGGAAACACAAGATAAAATAGAAACAGAGCAATGTCTAAACAAACACCCAAGAGAGGAAAATCTTTCACACTGAAGCATTTGCAGCCGAGGAGCATTGTACCAATTAGCAGGCTCTTAATTAAATTGCTTGTTTGATTTGCATCCAAATTATAATTTGGATGTTATGGAGGCTTTGATACCTTTTCATTAACTGGTCCTTTTGTGGGGAAAAAAGCCCACAAAAATCTCTTTTCCCTGTGTGTTTCAGAGGCCTGTGGCATCACAGGGTGGGAAGGTCAATCAGTTTTGTATCCATTTAAAGTCCATTATTGGTAGGGCCACTCCAACCTATCGAGCAAGTCCCTTATTTTTCCAGTCAGTGATTCAGGAATCTATAGCCCTGTGCAGATAAATGGGATTTCATGGGCTTCTAAACTTCTTGCTTTATTGAAAAGCAGAATATTAACTGCTCCACTGACCAGCTGTCCATTAAAAGCACGGGATATTTTTAGAAAATTGTTTGCCAATCAAATCCTACCAACATCTGTAGAGAGCCTTTTCAGTTTGTTTTATAAGCAAATGCTACAGCTGCTTTCCCACTCCCATGGAACCATTCCCATTTACCTGCTCTCCATGTCTCTGTCCGTGTCTGGGGGCACTTTGGGATTGTGAGGAGCAGCGTGGGAGCTGGAATTGTAAAACCCAGCTTTAACAAGTCCATTTGGGGCCAGGCCTGCCTGGCTTGGCCTGGCCTGGGCTGGGGGGCCCTGCTTTATTTTCTGCCCAGGGAAATGAGTGCTTTTGCATTTTTGGCTCTTGCAGGGGTTTAAATGGGCTCCGGTGGCCCTGGAGGCCAAGGCCGTGGATTAGGGAGCTCCCAACTGGCAAATCAGGGCTGGGGAGGGAGGGAGGGAGGGGGGCAGATGGCATTAACCCCTTGCTGCTCCCAGCTGCTTCCCCAGGACATTGCCAGTAGCTGTGCCCTTCAAAGCCACTGCTGCTGCAGGGAGAATGGCACCTCGTGCCCCCACAGATGGTCAGAGACAGGAATTTGGGAGTGCCTCCCCTTCCTGCAGTACTCCCATCCCCACTGGCATGCCCAGGTGAGTCCCTCAATACCAGCTTTCCACGAATCAAATTGAAAACACAACCAAATTTTATATAATTAACCAGTTTTGCTTCATTTCTCAGAGAAACTGATCCCTCAGGTGCTGCCAGGGGAGTTTTCAGGTGCCTGCTGTCTCTCAAGGTGTCTGGATGTCTCTCCTGAGGTTTTGGTTTTGATCAGAAGTGTCAAGTAATCCCCTCTTCCTGGGGCCTTCCAAAGCCAGAAAAACCAGCCAGAAAATCCTTTCCACGTGCAGAATTTTTATGATTAAATGCTTCCACCTCTTTGTCTTTTGTTCTGCCATTTCATTTTAATGAATATTTTATTGGGATTATATTTTTATAAGACAAGAAAGCACGGCCTTGCTTCAGCTCCTGTGTCAGTGCAACACCACTTGCTCACCCTAATTTACCCCACCAGCTCAGAATGTGTTTTGGAGATTGGACTCTTGGTTTAAAATAATCCTGAGGTTTGTTTTGCTGGAGAAAGTGGCATCAAGTCAAGTTTTGCTGCCTGCCCTACATCACCTTTGGTGACCTCTCTCCTTTTTGCTGCAGGGCATCGATTTCTGTCCTGGCCAGAGCGTGGCTGGAGTGACCACCCACACCCAGGAGGAGCACACCTACCTGCCCCTGCTCTTCCACCTGGGCAGGGACCCTGGTGAGAAGTACCCCTTAAGGTGAGCCACTTCATGGGCTGTCACAAAATCTCAGCAGTGTCAGTGTCCAAAAGTTGTTTGCTGGTTCTTGAGATCTGTTTAAAAACTGTCCCACACTGGGAAATGATGGCTTTCCTCCTGGTTTTTTCTCTGGAGAAGGACCAAAACCCTTGTTTCCAGGTGGTCAGGTGAGATGGATGTGCACATGGGCCTGTCAGCCTGGTTGCTCCTGTTCTGTGTCCTGCAGCCCCGCGGGGAGGAGGAAAACACCAATTTTTGGACAGGGCTGAGTGTGGCACGTTCAAGCAGGGTTGCTGGACAGCTGTGCCTTGGAGCTGGGAGTTTTGGGGCCAGGGAAGAAACAGCCAGTGCTGTGTGCTGCTGGAATCTCTGGAGGGCAGACCGGTCACCTTCCAGTCTCCTACCCCAGCTAAGAGAGCTCCTCCTGAGGGTGTTTTGCAGGAGGACTTTGTGCCCAGCCCTGCTCCTTCCTCGGGCTCTCCTGGCTGTCTGAATCCATTTTCTTCTAAGCCTGCTATTGTAATATTTATCTCTGGCACACACCGTGCCCTGAGAGATTCCCACAAGGATTTATGCAGTCAGCAGCCAGCAGAGCCCACAAAGAGCCCTGCCACCTCCAAAAACGCTCCCAAGGTGTCCCCACCTCCCTCCTTCCCTGCCTCCTGCAGCAAATCCATGGACACACAGCCTCATCCCTCACCAGGGGCTCTGACAGGGAGAGTGTGGAAATAAATCAAGAAGGAACAAGAGCTGCTGGGACTGCCTGCCCAGAACTGGGTTTGTGCAGCAGCCTGGAGAGGCAAAGATGTTTTCTGAGCTGACAGGGCTGCAATTACTCAGCTGGTTTGAATAATTGAGTGGACACACTCAGCCCATTCCTTCCAGAGGAGATGAGCCTGTGCTGTCCAATGAGTGTTTTCACTGCAGAGAGGAGGGGAGGGAAAATATTTCCATTCTCTCTCACTTAACAGAGCACTTTAGAGGTGCATCAGCAGTGGGTAAAGCTCTTTGGGGGCTCTGCTCCCACTGAATTCCAGCACTGGTGAACAAAGCCCAGCTGCAGCCTCAGGGCTGTAAACAGAGCTCAGTGAAACTGGACTGGGCTGGGATTCCAGGTGAGACCTGGCCACTTCAACAACTGCTTCAGTGCCCAGGGGATGGAGGGACAGCACACAGGGAATGGCTCCCACTGCCAGAGGGCAGGGCTGGATGGGATATTGGGAAGGAATTCCTCCCTGTGAGGGTGGGCAGGCCCTGGCACAGGTGCCCAGAGCAGCTGGGGCTGCCCCTGGATCCCTGGCAGTGCCCAAGGCCAGGCTGGACAGGGCTTGGAGCAGCCTGGAACAATGAGAGATGTCCCTGCCATGGCAGGGGTGGCACTGGATGGGCTTTAGGTCCCTTCCAACCCAAACCATTCCAGGATTCTGTGATTCTGTTTTAGGAAATGAGTGTATAGAGATAACCTCTTTTTTCCAAAAATCAAAAATGGGTAGCAGTAACTGAACTTGCCTGCTGTGTGTGTCACCTTTGTCACCTGCTCCAGGTGACCAGGGGGGTTGCACTGCTCTAGAACTCTCAGCCCTAAATACTCTGTGATTTTGGGATTCTCTAGTACTGTTTGTATTTCCTCTGGATTTGAGGCAGAACTCTTCTCTGAGGTGTTTGCAGCAGCTGCTTCCCTGTGATTCCACTGTTCCTTCCCACCACCGTGGAGTGAGCATTGAAATAAATTCCAGGGTTCCAGCTGCAATCATTTCTCATATGGTTGCATTGATTTTTTGGATATTCACAAGCTGTTGCCTTGATTGAATTTTATGGCAAGATTATGACCCGCTTATGGAGAGCTGGGCTGGTGTTTATTATGCAGCCCCTAATAGAAACCCTGGTTTTAGCACACCACTCTTCCTTTCTCCAGCACATTCTGCTGCTATTGTCTCCTCTTTGGTCACAATGGAAAACTCCTGGGAAGTGGGTCTGCTCTATCAAAAGTGGTAATTAAATTATCCTCATTTGTGGAGCTGTTCTTGGTGTGTATTTTTATTTAGCTTAATTATCCCCCTTGGCGGGGAGCCTGCTGGGAGTCCCGACACTAATGTTTCTCCAAAGGGAATCCAGCATCCTGCTCCCAGCCTGCGTCTGGCTGTCCCTACGTGCTGGCTCTGTTCTCCCTGCCTGCTTTTGCTCACTTTTTATTACATTTATTCCTTATTCAGTGCAGCCTTTTCTTCTCCCTTGAAACGGTTTCAATAATCTGTCATCTCTCCTGATTTACATGAGTTTGGAGTGGGGGCACGTGCAGAGCCACCAGCACTGGGTGTCACTGCTGCTCAGGAGGGCCTGGCATCACGTGCCCCTCCAGAGGGATTCACTGCTTCTATATTTGGGATCTCAGAGCCAGGGAATGCCAGGAATCAGCAGCTCAGTCACCTGCAGCAGCACCCCTGACTTGCAGGGCCTTGACACTGCACGTGCAGCACACACAGGGACAGTTCTTCCAGGCTGCAGCTTTATAGATTCAGGGAGTATTTCAGCAAGTGCCATTAACCTGGCCCTGCCAAGCCCACCACTGTCTGGGTTATCTCATGGGGGCTGGAACTTGATGAGTTTTGAGATCTCTTCCCACACAACCCATTCCATGATTGTTGTTCTGTATTAGGAAGGTGAGTGGATAGAAACAACCTATTTTTCCAAAAATCAAACAAAGCTTTTCAGTCTTTGTTGAAGTGGCTGCTGAAGGGATCCCTGAAGATGCAAGACCTGCAAGACCCAGAGGCAGCAGTAACATGTTCAGCTCCCTGGGGTTCTTGTTGAGGCAAGACAAGTCCTTCCTCTTCCTCCCACTGTTCACTGCATTTCCTGGAGCTGCCTGCAAACAGTCCCAGCAAGGGGAGCTCCACATGCAGAGGTAAAAAATGGCTCAGGCAGTTCCAGGCAGGTCCTGTCAGCGTGGGGACACCTTGGCAGTGCTGAGCACACCTTCCTGTGCTGCACCCCTGCCTCAGCTGCTCTGGGAACAGCCCCCCACCATGGCTGGGATTCTCTTCCTGCTGCTGCCCCTCTGGATTTGGCTCCTGCCCCACATCTTCTGCCAAAGGACACAGCTCTGTGTGCTCCTTTGCCTTGAAATCTCCTGCAATCCTGGAATGGCTTGGGCTGGAGGAACCTGAAAGCTCAGCCAGTGCCACCCCTGCCGTGGCAGGGACACCTCCCACCATCCCAGGCTGCTCCAAGCCCTGTCCAGCCTGGCGCTGGGCACTGCCAGGGATCCAGGGGCAGCCACAGCTGCTCTGGGCACCTGTGCCAGGGCCTCACCTCCCTCCCAGGGAAAAATTCCTTCCCTTACATTCCTTGTGTAGGAAACCTTTAGACCCTTGTGTAGGAGTCACCTCATCCCTGGTGGTGAGAGGGGAACCCTTGGTGCCTTTTTGTCACCTGCATCAGTGCAGGGGACAGAAAATCTCTCTTTTTTTATAGCTCTCAACTTTAAACTGTAACTAAGAATGTGTGTTGGGCAGCACAGAAAGCAGAAGCATTTCCCTGAGTCTGAGCAGGGCTTTGTTTCCTCCCTGGGTGCAATAACTGCCCTTGTTGCCAATTTTATCCAAATGCAGAACTAGAAGATCTGATGGGTTTTTTCCTTGGCCAGATTCTGTTATCTTTGGGCTGTGGTGTGTGTGCTAAGTACCACAGAGGGAACTTGTTTCTCCAATGTGACAAATTCAGCAAAATTATCTGTTGGTACCGTCTTCACAAGCAGTTGTCAGTTTTATTATCTGAGTCAGATTATTGTTTATACAGACATTTACTAAAATACTGCATAATTATTATATATATTTATATTTATATATAGAGAGAGATATATAAATATATATATATATCTAAAAAGCAAAGCTGGCACAGCTAAAAATACAGTTAGTAAAATACCTAATGCAGCCTGAAGTAGAAAAAGTGTTTTGAAGCCAAAGAATTTATAACAGCAATCTCTGAAATGCTGCCAGTTTGAGCCAGGGGTGCAAAGCTTAACAGCAAGTGAGGGCAGGGTAAGTACAGCCTGCTCACACCTTGTTGTTACTCCAGGTTTGTAGCAGCTTCTGCTCTGAGAAGTGAGTTTATTGAATTATGAGCATCAAAATTCCTGTGTTTTACTTAGGGCAATGGATTTTACTATTATGGAAGAAAATGGAAGTGATAAGGCTTGGTTGATGAACATAATGATTTTAGAACACATTAATTAAGAAGAGAGCTCACAAGTGCCTATTTCGAGCAGATGGAAAATTCAGGAAATCATCAGAGAGGTAATTGCAGTGGTTATGGAGCCAGAAAAAAAAAGGGAAGGAGCTCCTGAAGGGAAGCTAAAAGGGAGAGGATCTGACAGAAAAGTTGCCAGTCTCACCTTAGTGCTCAGGGCACAAACCTGGCTGTGGGGAAGAGAGAGAAGGTGCAAAACAGGGGGAAAATGTGAATAATGCCAAAGAGCAAGGATTGTGCTCAGGGGAGATGCTGACTCCTCATCTTGGCAAAGAGGGAAATGGTGCCAGCTGCATTGCAGGGTGAATTAGCAGCTGCCACAGGAGAGGTGACACTAAAAGTGTGCAAACCGTGGCTGAGGAGCCTCAGAGGTGGCAGTAAAACCCACGGAGCACCAACCACGCTGGGAATGGCTGCAGCGAGGTGGGAAGAAGCAGGAGAGCCAGGTGGGACTGGTACAGAGCCAGCTGGAGGGAAATAAAATCCACCTGTGGGGGAGAATCAGCAGCCTGGAGACTGGACACAAACACAGCTGGCTCTGTGGTCTAAAGGTTTCCCAGGTCTGGGACCCACCTGGAGCTGGTGTTTACTCAGCCCACAGCCCTCAGGTGGTCTGGGTGGGGTGGTGCTGCATGAGCAGGAATATTGGGAGAAAAAAGCTGCACGAACCAGCTGGAAAAAAAGCAAAATGCAGTTTGACGTGGACGCCATCACCTTCATCATCATCTCCACAGACAGGTCCAGGCAGTGCTGCAGCCACTGAAAGTGGCCTGAAGAACACAGTACATCAGCTGTGACTCAGGAAACTTCAGCAAATGAAACTTCAACAAATGAAACCTCAACAAATGACACTTGAGGAATAGCACAGGAGCAGCCAGCAGGAGGATCAGTGGATAGCTGTTCTTTCCTGTCACCTGTTCACCCCCAGCTGAAGGCTTTACTCCACCTTTGTCCCCTTTGCCATTTCAGTGCTGGGCTTGCTGGCAGTGAAATCCAGGATTCTGGGAGCTGGGGAGGGAAAACTTCCATGAAAATAGGTGAGCAGGTGGAGGATCAGCACCACCCCATCTCCTTGCTGCAAGGAGTGTGCTGATCATCACAGCTTGGCTCTCCCATCTTGGAGGCCTTTTCCAACCTGGATGATTCTGGAATTCCAAGGTTTCCTGTGGCCCAGTGGCCACATGCCCTTCATGCCTCCAGGGATGCATCTGGCCCCAAAATGCTGCTGGACCAGAGGTGACCTGAGGTAAGGGCCACCTTCACCCTTGGATTCCTCTTTTGCTTTCCTTTGGCTCCTCTGAGTCTCTCCAGTAATTCCAACAGCAGAGCCCCAAACCTGTCTCTGCCTCCTGCACTGTGCAGACCTTAAATTGCAAATAAACTTGATAATAGGAGAGAGGAGCTGAGGAAGACTGAGTAATAAGAGAAGATCAAGACTTGGATACCACGGTGCTGTGAAGCCTCAAAGCACTGATAACAGATAAAATCAAATTATCAGAATCTGGGTGTATTTCAGAATTAAAAAGAATGGTTTTAATTAAAATAATTCCAGGGGAGAAGGAAGTGAAGTATCATTAGCCACGTTTTATGCTCTTCCCATAACTTCATATCAATCTGAGAGCTGCTGTTCCTAGAACCATGGAATCCTGCAATGCTTTGGATTGGAAGGGGCCTTTAAAGCCTGTCCTGTTTAAAGCTCATCACCTTTGCCTGCTCCAAGCCCTGCCCAGCCTGCTCCAGAGCCTTTTACCAGTTCCTGTGAATCCCATTATGGGAATTTTTATCATATATCATTTCCACTCTGTTCCAGCCCTCTCAGTATCAGCACAGCCCCATCGCTCCCAGGACAGACACTGCGCTGTGTATCAGCAGGGTGAGGTGTAAAACAAACATCCTGAAACCCTGCTGGAAATGCTCCTGCATTTGTTTGGGTGCTGATGTGTTAGAGGGTGCATTAAGGATGGCAGAGCACCGTCCCCGAAGGTGAAAGCCCAAGGAGCAGAGGACTAAAGCAGAGTTTGAGTGTGGGTGAGACAAACCCTGCTCCCTGCAGTTTGCTGGGAGGCCACGCTGGGGTTAAGCAGCAGAGCAGGTTCCAGGAGCTGTGGGGGGAGGATGGAGCAGATTGCCAAGGCACAATTACAGTAAATGAAGGAAGCACAGCCCACACCTGTGCCTGGGACCCCGCGCTCCAATCCAGCCCTGATTGCATCTCCAGGGACTTCCCGGAGGTAAAGTGTCAATTAGTGTAATGACCCTGGACTTTGTCCACTCTGCTCCCTCCTTCTGAGCGTGGAATAATTTCATGGACGCTGGGGGATCTCTTTTAGCAGACTCCTCACAACACCACCTGCTCACCCTCTCATTCTTGCGCTGCTATTCCCAGCTCTCCTTCCCGGGATTGCTGAGCTGGAATAGGAAATGCAGCTCGCCCCGGAGGCAGCCCTCCCAGACAATGGTGCCCAGACACCTGCACTGATAATTCCACCTTTTTTTGGAGCAGGGAATGCAGCAAACCTGGCCTTGCAGCCCAGGCCTGTGTATGCATAGCAGGAAAGGATGGGACTCCAGGCAGGAGAGGTTCCCAGCTCCCCTAACAGCTCCCACTGATTACCATGAGGTAATTATCCCCATTTTTCATGCAAATTCCAGGCACTCTTGCAGATTTTGTCTCAAAATGCACTTGCTAAGGGCTGGAGGCAGTTTTAACTCCTGTGCAATCAGTAAATACTTCACAAATCCATGGATGTGGGATTTTGGGGCATGTTGTGGAGCTGAACAGGAATATCTGACGGAAAACAGCCACAGAGCCAAGGCAGGAAAACCAACCCCTGTGGAATGGGGGTTCCATGGGGTCAGGAAAAGAAAACCAACCTCCACGGAGCAGGGTTAGATGGGATTTTGGGAAGGAATTCCTGGCTGGGAGGGTGGGCAGGCCCTGGCACAGGTGCCCAGAGCAGCTGTGGCTGCCCCTGGATCCCTGGCAGTGCCCAAGGCCAGGCTGGACAGGGCTTGGAGCAGCCTGGCATGGTGGAAGGTGTCCCTGCTATGACAGGGATGTGATGAGACAGATTTCAAATCTCTTCCCACCCAAACCATTCCAGGATTGTCGGATTCTGTGAAATTCTGGAGCTTCTCAGGATGCTCTGGGTTTCAGGGTGGTCCTTCAGCTCAGGATGCAGGCAGCTGGGTGTGAGAGCAGCAGCTCCAGCTCCTGTCCCACCTTCCCTTCCGCCTCTGTATCAGCCCAGCCCAGCCCCACAATCAGCCTCTCCCTGGCTGCCTGCCCAGCTGGGATATTTATAGGCTTTACTGGAAGCGCTTGGCACATCGCTGGCCTTCCAAATGTGATTGTTTTGCAAAGAAGGAAATTAGCTGGAGTGTGGGGCTGGTGGCCAGCTTGGCCTGGGAGCACAGGGAGCCCGAGGTCAGCACCCAGCTGCATTGTTTCTTTTATCTTCAGAAGGAATTTGCCTGCTCTCTGTGGGGTTTCTGGTGTTTTTTTAAGTGACTCTTAAGGTGATGGACAAAGAGAGATCGTTGATAGGAATCCTGCTTTTTAGAAATACTTGAGATATTAGTGAAGTGCACCCTGAGCCACTCCAGCAAATAGCTGCTGGAGGAATCGAGTGGGTCAGGCTCTGGTCATTTCTAACCACATTTTGGGGAATGGCAGATGGCTCCCAGCTTGGAATAATCAAGCTGTAATGGAAGAATGTGGATGGGGCAGAACCTCGGCATTTTGTGGAATGGGGGAGGTATTCTAGTCTTGGACGAGGCCCTTCTATTCTTCTCCTCTCTGTTTGCATAATTTTAGTTCATTTCCTTGGTGGTTGTGGAGTTTAACTGGCCCGGGGTTGTGTTTGAAACCCTTCCTGAGTACACTCTTGTAAAACAAAATATTGACATTCCCCTCGCTTCCCTACAGCAAACGCCTCCGCCCGGGCCGGGTGTTCAGGAGAGCTCTGGGAAGAGTGGGGGGAGAGTGTGGAGAGCTGCTGAGCTCAGGTGGGACACGCTGGAAGGGCTGCCTCGGGAAATTTCTGTCCCGAGCTGTCTGGGAAAGTGTTTGTCCTGTGTCTGGGAAGTGTCCCTTGATAATCATTGGAGGGACAGTTTGAGGACAGCCCAGAAATGCCCTTTCATTTGCTGAGACAATCCCCTTGGGAATCCACGTGAGCTCCTAGCAGATCTGCACGAGGAGGAAACATTTGGGGCCCCTGGAGCAGCAGTCTGGGAAGCTGAGCTGCTCTGAAGCCAGGTGATTTCTGGGCAGGACAAGCCCCTGCCATCCTCAGTGCCCTGAGCAGAGCACCTGCACCCTGCCAGCCTGGATTGCATTCCCTACAGAGCCGTGGGCAGCTGGCAGGATGCTTCCACACCTCCTCCTCCTCCTCCTCCTCATGGCCAGCCTGGTGACGTGGGCAGCACAGGAAGGCCCAGCAGTAACCCCTGTGCTTTTCCCTTGCAGCTTTGCCAGTGAGGAGTACCAGCGGGCTGTGGAGCACATCTCGGGGCTGGTCCAGCAGCACAAGGCCACCCTGGTGCCAGGCCAGCCCCAGCTGAACGTGTGTGACCAGGCTGTCATGGTGAGTTCCTGAAGCACAGATGCACTGGGCAATCCTTGGGTTAAAATACATATTGTACAGGTTTCATCAAATGTCAGTGTTGGGAAGGCATGCAGAAGAGATGCATAGAAACTTCCTTGCTTAGAAACAGGGCAGATCCTTCTTCCCCTTTCTAATCCTCTTCTGCAGTTCTCAAAGTCCTGGAATCATGGAATCCTGCAGTGGTTTGGGTGGGAAGGGATCTCAGAGCTCAGGCAGTCCCACCATGGCAGGGACACCTTCCACTGTCCCAGGTGCTCCAAGCCCTGTCCAGCCTGGCCTTGGGCACTCCCAGAGATCCAGGGGCAGCCACAGCTCCTCTGGGAACCTCTCCAGGATCTGCCCACCCTCACAGGGAGGATTTTTTTCCCAATATCCCATCCATCCCTGCCCTCTTTGTTTTGAGTCTTCTGTGGGCCAGTTCATCTTCAGTGATGTATCTTTGGTCTTGCTTTGTCTCCTCCAATTCCCCCCCGTGCCTAAATTTTCCAAAGTCTTCATTGAAATTGAACTTTTTCAGTTCTGTTTATTCTTTCAAGTCTCCTGTTGGAAAGTTACAGTTTGGCTTCCCTGTCAAACACTGCTTGGTTTGTTGAGAACCTGGGAGAGAAACTGGATAATCTGGGGGAGGTTGTCACTTGACAGGAGGTTGTGTAGTGTGAGGGAATGTGTCTGTGGGCTGACAGACAGAATAGTAACAGGCAAAATCTTCTTACAGACAAAGTCTTGTAACAGGCTGTTACAAAATAGTAACAGGCAAAATCTTCCTGATGCAGAAATAATCTCCCGAATCAGTCAGAACCTGCTGCCTCTGGTCTGTCACCAGCACAGAACAAAATGTGGAGCTGTGTCCCCTCAGTAACAAGGCAAAGATCTCCCTTAGCTTTGTCCTATCTCTTTATTTTTGGATGTTAAATAGGAAAAAGATTTGAGGGCCCATTGTTTCTGTGTTGTTTTCTTTCCTTATTCAACTTTTCCCTTAATAAACACTGTTCTCTGCTCCTCTGGGGCCTTTTAGATCCAGGCACTGTCCCCAGGGCCTGGCTGCTGCCAGAGCCCTGCTGTGCAAAGGCATTTCTTCCAAAAGGGCTTCCCAAATTGCAGGCCAGCAGTGGGCTGGGGGATCCTAGTCCCAGGAGAAATGTTTCAATCCCAGCAGGAGCCACGGTGAGTTCTCAGTTTGTGTGCACTCCTCCCAGGATGGATAACTCCATGCTCACTACACCGAAGTACCAGGCAGCAGCTTGCTGCCTTTGGAGACCAGAAATGAAGATAGGCAAACCTTCAGGGAATGATTATGTTGCTGGGGTGGACTGGGGGCTAAATCTGTTTTTGGGGGATGCTGGGAGATACAGATAACTTACTGACACTATCTCCTGCCACCTGTTTATTTGATAAGGGTTTTTGTTTGATGTATTTGGGAGAGAGGAGGAGAATTGTCTTTGCTTTCACACAAACAAAGTGTGTGGAAGTGTTCAAGGAAGTGTCCAAGGCCACGGAGGGACAGGACACAGGGAATGGTTCCCACTGCCAGAGGGCAGGGCTGGATGAGATTTTGGGCAGGATTTGTTCCCTGGGGGGTGGGCAGTATCCAGGGCCAGGCTGGACAGGGCTTGGAGCAGCCTGGGACAGTGGGAGGTGTCCCTGCCATGGCAGGCCTGGGACACTGCATGGGCTTTGAGATCCCTTCCAACCCAAACCATTCCATGGTTCCACCTGGCAGTTTGTTAATAATTGTATTGACCCATAAGGCTGGGGGGTTTTGTTTTTATTCAAGAGTTTTATTCCTGGAATACAGGAGCTCCTCGATCTGAGCACAAGGAGTGAGGCACTGGGTGAGTTTAAGGCCCCTTCCCACGCAGCCATGGCAGGATCCCAGGGCAGCAGATGGATCCTTGTGCAGCTCCTGCAGAGCAGTGATGGAAGCAGGAGCAGGGAGGTGTTTGCAGCCCATCTGTGCTGGATCCCAGAGCAGTGTCCGGGGAGTTCCCCAGAGGCAGCTCTGCTGGCTTTTCCTGCTGTGCAAGTGTGGGAGAAGCTGTTCCTGCAGCTCGGGGCTGGCCTGGCTCCGTGCTGTCCCCAGGGCTGCAGCACAGCCCAGCAGCAGGACTGGCACTGCAGGAGTGCAGCACAGACCCCTGATTGTCCTGCTTTTTCAAAAGAACAAACATTTCATTTCATCTGTTCCTTTGGCTCTCGGTTCCTTCTGCGGAGCGCTCTGCGTTTTCCAGCCGTGGCTGCACATTTGAAAGCAGAGGAACAGATTTAGGAAAGGACATTAATTGTTCTGAAAGCCTGTGGAGCCCCCGCTGCAGAGGTGCCTTCAGCACAGCTCCCTCTGTGTCTGCTGCTCTGCAGGATTTGCTGGTGTCTCACTGCCATCTGTTGTCAGCTCCATGGAACAAAAAACTGCTCCAGTGCTGTTTTTTTTCCAGGGGTTAAACGTTTCTCTTCCATAGGAATTCAATTCCAAGAAAACATAAATACTTGCAGGGTGAAAATCGGCAAAATGAAAGGCAGGAGGTCAGTGTTGAACTGGCCTTTAATAGGGGACAGCAGGAATGTCCCACGATGGACAGACCTGAGAGAGGGAAGCACCAATGAAAGCAGAATGGGAATTGTTATCTGCCCTTCCCATGACCACAGTCCCACATTTTAAATGGCAAAACCTCAGCGAAATTAAAAACGTTCATTTACCCAAATTCCTTCCTCCATTAATCCCTCTGGAAGCTGAGGTTGGCAGTGGATCTCCTTTTTCAGTTCTACACACACAGGTAGCTCAAGAAACGTGGAAACGGGGAAAACAAACAGTTTTGGTGTGCAGGCACTGGAAGAGGTGTCTCAGGAATGTTTCCTGCTCCATGTGCCCATGGATCCATCCAGCAAAATGCTCATTAAAATACCTTTAATTCTTATCTCTCTCACACCCTTGGCCTTCTGCTGGCTGTTGCTTCCTCAGGACAGTGCCTGAGTGAGAATGGGAACTCCCCTGGAATGCCAGGGGAAGTGGGGGTGTCACCAAAACCTCCTGGTCTGGTTGCTCTGTGCTACCACAGGAGAAGAGGAAGGTCACCAGCATCCAGCAAGCTGGGTGGGAGAGGCCAGGAAGGACTGGCGTGTCCCAGGAGAGGGAATCATCTGCTGCACAGCATTTGTGGCCTTTCCCAGCTTTTATTTCACCACTGTTTGGAGTGGGGAAGTTTATGAGCCCAGAGGCTTCGGCTGCAAGAGGAGTTTCATTTTTCAAGCAGCACATAAAAGTGTCTTTGTGAGGATCATAAAGAGCTGGTTGGGGTGAGAGCTCAGCAGATACTTGGTGTGAATCATGGTTGTGTCTGTTTCTGTTTGTTTTTAACAGAATTGGTCCCCTCCGGGCTGCGAGAAGCTTGGGAAGTGCCTGAAAGCACCAGAATCTGATCCTAAGAAATGCTCCTGGCCTCACTGATGGCTGCAGCCCTGCAGAGCTCCCCAGAGGCAGCTGGACATCCCCTTTCCAGTGCCTGCTCCTGTTGGCACTCTGTTTACACGGGAAGGGTGTGATGTGTGCATGATATCATCACTTGCTCTTCCAAATGGGCCAGTGTTTATAATCCTCGTGCTCAGGGTTTAGCCTCTACTCCTCTCTTCCCCCAGTTCTTTCCCTAAATGGTAACTCCAGGGAGGATTGGGTCAGCTGTGAGAGCTCTCTGGACAGCCAGGACTCTGCCATCAGCTCCAAAATGCCGTGGATCACTGCTGCTCCTTCCACCCAGCCTTGCTCCCTGGGGTGCCCCAACAGGAGCCACGGGACAGGTCAGGAAACTCGGAGCTGCCAGAGAGCCCTGCCCAAACCACCCATGTTTTGTTTGCCTGTAGCTTGTTGTTTTAACATTTGATTTCCATTGTGAGCTCTGCACATCAGCTTGTTTTTCCTTTCTCCCCAAATCTGTGAGTTCTGGGTGCAAACCAGGGGTCCCTCCTGCTCACAGCTGAGGGGTTTGGAACTGAGGAGAATGCCCTGAATTCCTTCCATGTGCAGCTGCAAACGTTCCCTAGGTCATGGTTTAAGGAAAGGGGGGGATTCTCCTCAGGTGGGTGTTGGATTTGGGGTTACAGCCCCTGCCAGTGCCTGAAGGAGCTCCAGGACAGCTGGAGAGGGACTTTGGGAAAGGGCCTGGAGTGCCAGGACACAGGGAATGGCTTCCACTGCCAGAGGGCAGGGAGAGATGGGATATTGGAAAGGAATTCTTCCTTGTAGGAGTGCTGAAGCCGTGGCACAGGTGCCCAGAGCAGCTGTGGCTGCCCCTGGATCCCTGGCAGTGCCCAAGGCCAGGCTGGGCAGGGCTTGGGGCAGCCTGGGACAGTGGAAGTGGGATTGCACTGGATGAGCTTCCAGGTCTTTTCCAGCCCAGACCATTCCAGGATTCTGTTGCCAATTGTTGGTGCAGGACATCTGTGGGGAGCTGGGGGTCAGGTGTTCATTTTGGGGCTTTCCTTAATATCCAAAAATCTGGGTCTAAAGCTGGGCCAAGCCACACTTCCCATCTCATGCTCTGGGCCCAGCCAAGTGCAGGCTCAGAAATGCCCCTTGGCATCAGCCCTTAACTCCTGACCCCATTTCCAGCACAAGCTCTCTGAGGAATTCTCCTTGTGCAAACCCTCCCCAGCCTGCCTGCAGCTCTCCTTTAGCCAGAGGAGCACAGAGCCTTTGCTCAATCCCACAGGGCAGATCCCTGCTCTGCCTTGGAGCCTGTTCCACACCCTTCCCTGTCTCAAATAAACCTGTCTGGAGCAAAACCAGCCTCCTCTGGGCCTTCAGGGCAGCAGCTGCAGGGAGCCTGAGCCTGCTTGGGTTCACACTGAAAGAGGGGCAGCTGAGATTGGATGTAAGGAAGGAGTTGTTCCCTCTGAGGGTGGGGAGGCCCTGGTACAGGGTGCCCAGAGGAGCTTGGAGCAGCCTGGGATAGTGGAAAGTGTCCCTGCCCATGGCAGGGGCTGGAGCAGGATGAGGGTTTAGATCCCTTCCCACCCAAACCATTCCATGATTCTCCATTTGTCCCACCAACAGCTCTTCTTCCACCCTTGCAGTGTTTCCCACAGTCCACCTGCCCTGTCTGTGTGATGTTGTGCTGCCTTAGGAAAATCCAGGTGCTCTGTACCTGGGAACAGCTCAAATTCCTCCCCAGCTAAGCCTGGAGCTGCTTGAGAGCTCTGCTCTTGTGCTCTCAGCTGCTTGTCCCACCCTCCTGTAATCCCAAACGCTCCCATTCCCCCATCCCATGGTTTATGTACCTGTAATCCCCTCCATGGGAATTCTGGTGTGTGTCTGCTGAAGCTGGATAATCCCATTAAACTGGAATGAGAACAGCCCTTGGGTCAGCTCTTGCTGTTGCACCTCTCAGAAATCCCAGCCAGCGTTTCAGGGATCCCTGCACATCTGCAAGTGACATTTGTTTATAGCCCACATTTCTTAGGATGTTCCTAATCGTCCTTCAAGTGTATCACTGCATTTCCAGCTCATCCATAACATTTCTCCTTGTTTGGACACAGCTCAAGGCTTGGGAGATGTGGCCAGCAGCTCCCTCAGGGGTGAGGTCAGGGCTGGGAGCAGTTGTGGGTCTGTCAGCACAGGAGACCAGATAAAAGCAGGAATTCCCCATTTGCGGGGCTGCTCCACCTGTGCTTTAGGGCTTCTCCATGCCCAGAGGAAGGAATGGGGCTGGGAAGGGGCTGGAGCACCAGGAAGGGCTGAGAAAGCTGGAAGGGGGCTCAGCCTGGAGAAAAGGAGGCTCAGGGGGGACCTGGGGGCTCTGCACAGCTCCCAGGGAACAGGGACAGGAGGAAAGTTGTGCCAGGGGAGGGTCAGGTTGAATATCAGGGAATTTTCTTCATGGAAAGGGTGAAAAGCATTGGCACAGGGCAGTGGTGATACGCCCATCCCTGGAAATGCTAAAAACCACGAGGATGTGGCACTGGGGTGGCCGTGGTGGTGCTGCTGGGGGCTGCACTCGATGGTGTCCGAGGTGTTTTCCAAGCTCAGTGACTTTGATCCCACAGCTCTGTCCCTGGGACTGTCAGAGCCCTGCACTCGCTGTACAACTTGTAAAATTCCACCAGAGGAGGGAGTCCGTGGCTGCAGCTCCCTGGCAATCCTGTCAGCCCTCAGATCCTGGGCAGCTAACAGCACTGGTGAGTTTGTGCTGCTCAGGAAGAGCTCCCCCAGGATCAGAGCTGGGCCCTGGGCTGGCCACGCTGCTCTGCCCCCAGGATTTGCTCTGACACCTCCTCCCCGTCCCTGCCTCTGCTGCCTCCTCTTCTCTTTCACAGCTGCACCTTGGCACATCCTGCTTTGCCCCTGGAACCTGCTCTGAGCAGCCACGGGCTTTGTCCCCCCTCCCAGCACAGCAAACCCTCATTCCTCATTCCTGGAGTACTCTCAGGACACGGATCCTGGAGGGAAATTTTGCACTTGAAAGCAAGTAAGTGAAGCCATGACGTGTCTGTTTCGAATAAAAGGACACGTAGCAGATAATAAATAATCAGGGTTTAACGTGACAAAGCTTCTGCTTTAAATTTAAATAGGAATAGTTGTTTTACAGCTGGCTAATAGGAGGAATTTTAAATGAATGCCTTTCCTAAAATTGTACAGATTTAAAAGTTGTGAGGTGAAGAACTAACGAGGAAAAATAAACTAATTTATCAGTAATGCAGTCTGTGATTTCACCTGTAAGCCAAGGGAGTAACTAACGCCTTGCTTTGGGGCACTTTCCCAGATCCACCTCCTGGATCATGGGACTGACTGGGCTTAAAAATAACTTGGTTTGTTTTCCTGGAATTATTTTTACCACGGATCAATCTCCCAGCCCACACGGTGCAGTTCAGAGGCTGGGGGGAAGCAGGGCCAGCACGGGGTGGGGATGGTGCCTGCAGCCCCCACTGCCCACTTGGGCCACAAAGGGGCCACATCTGCCCTCAAAAACCATCCTTAAAAACCATCCTGAGTTCTGGCCTGAAGCTGCCCAGCTTGGGAACTGGGGCAGGAGTGGGGCTGGAGGATTTCCTATCCACTCAGGGTCCTGCAGCAGCCAGACTGGTCTGCTGGTGGCTTCTGTTCTCCAGCTAGGATTCAGAAATGCCAAAGGAATGCTGGAGTTTAGGGCTGTGATGCTCCTTTCTCTGTGTTTATTATGCTGAATGCTAAAAGCTCAATATCTTCCTGGCTTAGGAGTCCGAAGAATTTCTTTCTTGTCTTTAATTTCCAATTAGCTGAGCCTCTCAAGCCTCCCAGCTCTGCCCCTGAGGCTCTGTTATCATCCCACCCTGCGTGCAGAGGAGCTTCTGAAATGGATGGAACTAATAATCCTGGAAGAACTCCGGCTGCTGTTCCGGGCTCTGGCTGCAGCAGTGGAGCCTTGATTCCAAATCCTGCAGCGACAAATGGATTATTTCAGTGGCAAATTGGTCCCTGGGGATCAACAATTTGGGGAGCTGAATGCTGGAACTGGGAAGCAGCAGATCAATTCCCAACACTTGGAGCCAAGGTTAATGCCCTGCAAAGTGCCCTGAGTGCAGCAGCGAGGAGAGCACGGCCCTGCCTGGCCGAGGGGAGCCCAAGGAATGTGTCAAAGGAAAATGGGGAGCTCTGCACCTAGGGAAGGGAGTGAGAGTCCCATGGATTTGCTGCTGAAACCTGGGGCTGTTCTGGGGCAGTGGGATTTGACTAAAAGATGTGGAACTGATGTCTCCAAGAAGGAGGCTGTGGGACTTGGGACAGTAGTGGCAGTGGCATTTCCATAGCTGTCACCTCCAGCCCTTCCCAGACATCGTGGACAGCATCCCAAAATTCCTGGTTTCACATAAAGATCTCCTCAAGGTTGGGGACTCATTATTTTCCCCAGTGAAATAACCCCACGAAAGAATTCCAGCAGCTGAGGAAGGACCCGTGGAAGGTGAGAACTGAATGGAGTTTGTGGGGGAGGAAGGTTTGGGGTGCTGGGAGGTGAATTTTGGCTGCAGAGTCCCCAGCAGCCTCTGGAGCACAGCCAGCAGAGAAATCCCTCCCCAGGGATCCTGCCCTTGTCCTCAGCACTGGGAAACTTTACAAACTAAACACACTTTTATTCTCTTAAGAGTTCCTTTGCTTGTTCAGCTTCCAAATAGCTGTTCTGCAGTTCGAATGGCCTGTTTTCCATCTCTCCTAGCTGTTAGAATACTTGGAAATCGACTTTTCCTTTTGTTTTCTGGTAGCACTGGATGTTTTTCTATGTTATCAGGAGGCGACACTGTGGTGCCCCTTGAATTAAACTGTCAAGTTTTAAGAACAGCTGTAAGGGAAGAACTGAAATCCCATTTTGGGTTCTTTTTTCCTTTGGAAAATGGCTATTTGAAACACCAAGGCTCCATTTGCCTGTTTTTCTTTATATCCCCTTCCACCGTTGAAAGTTTTGTTGTCGCTTGCAGTCGAGTTGGGATTATATAAATCCTAAATAAAGGTGGATCCGTAGCCAGAAGCTTGTGGTCTTTGAGGACGGAATAAAAACCTCTGCCTTCCAGCTTCTGCAGAGAGGCAGCCTGGCAGCTCTGCGGGCCTTTGTCCCTCTTGGAGTCACTTAACACCCCCTGGGTGACAGGAGCTTGGTAGCACAACTCCCAGCTGAAAGGGAGAGCAGATAAAAGGCAGCAGCCAGGAATGCCAGCCAAATCCATTCGTGCTGCATCAGACACAAAAGCCAGGCTGGCCAGGGCAGGGAGAGGAGTTTTGTGTCTCCTCCAAGGGCCTGATCCAACCTGCTGCTCCCAGGGCAGAGCTGGATCACGACGCTTTTCCCTCTTTTAGGGGGACAAAACCAGGTCCGAGGCTTCCATCCCGAGCCCAGGGATCTGGCTGGGGAGCTGCATTCTTCTGGTGTTGAAAGAAGATATTTCAAATTTGTTGTGGCTTTTTTTTTTTATTTTTTTTTTTTTTTTTTTTAAAGGGTTTAAAGTGCATGAGTTTCCTCAGCTGAGATTGAAACGAAACATTCCAGTGGATTTGCAGGGAAATTTTTGTGCTTGTTTTCCCTGGTGCAAGGGGGATGTTGAAATTTGGGGCATTTTGTTCCACTTCACACTGAAGTGTTAAAATCCTGAACAAACAGAAACTTCCAGGCTCAGCACAGCTCTTTAATTGCCTGGTTAAGCCGATTAAAGTTAGTTCCCAAGCTTTTGTATTCCCAGTTTCTCTGCTCCCTGGCTAATAACACCTCTCCTAGCAGGATCTAAAAGCACTTTTCAATCACTGATGGCCTCGGTGTCCAGAAAAGAGGCAAAGCCAGCGTTCCCTGGGGCAATTCCAGGTGGTTTTTCCTTTGCCAGGCACAGAGCAGCTCGAAGCCACGAGGAGCGGATGTGGAGTCACCTCCCGGTGATATTCCAGAGCCCTTTGACATCACATTTGGAAAGGGGTCCTAGGAAAGTTCTTTGCAGATGGAAATTGCAGTAGGAGTCAGCAGGGTTGTTTGAAAGGTGGAACAATCACGGGGAAAACTGATTTCCTTGGGGTGTTCCAGTCCAGTCTGTGCCGGTGGGTGCAGTTGGAATCCTTGGAGATGGGGGGTAAATGAGGAGTTCAGACAGGAATCTCAGGAATGTTGTCTTTTAACCACGATTTCTGGCAGCTGGCTCACCGCAGGTCCAATTCGGTGTAACCTTTGTGCCCTTCCCGGCAGAACTGATGGGGACAGGCTGACCCCACGTCCCAGAGGAGGAGGAGGAGGAGGAGGAGGAGGAGGAGGAGGAAGAGAGAGCCCTGGCTATGGGGTGGAGCAGTGGGGGCACTCAGCAGCTCATCCTGCTGAAGGTTTGATGAGGGGCTTGGGAGCCTCACTCAACCACAGGAACATGTGGTGGAGTCTCCTGCCGTGAGGGTGGGATCGTGGGGGGGTCACAAACAGGACAGGGGTGACACAGACCCCCCGTTCCAGCCCCTCCGTTAGTGAGAGGCAGAAAGCAGAGCTGCCTGGCAGGCTGAAAAGATCCTTTTTCCCAGGAAATAAGCTCCTGCTCATTTATTTCCACGAGTAGGCAGATAAATTCCATCAGCAATTCCATCTGCCAGGAAGAAGAGGAGTTGCTGGAGCAGCTCATTGTCCAGTGCTGGGCTTGTAAGGTCACCAGAGGAAGGCGTCCAGGCCAGGCAGGGAGAGCGAGCGCTGCGAGCATGGCTCCACTGGCAGGCCCTGTCCTTCCTCCCTCCTTGCTTCCCTGGATCAGCTGCCCCAGAGGATCCTTCTGGTGCCAAAGAGATGATCTGAGTGCAGGGAAAATCTTACTTTGTGGGGGAATGGTTGTGAAGGCAGCACGGGCTGTCTCTGGCAGCAGAGGGAGTTAACCTTAACAGGAGCTGGGATTGTGCAGCCTGGGGAAGAGGAGGCTCCAGGGGGACCTGAGGGCTCTTTCCAGTGCCTGAAGGGGTTCTGAGAGAGCTGGAGAGGACTGGGGACAAGGAACAGGGTAAGGGGGAATGATTTCCCCAGAGGGCAGGGTTAGATGTGATATTAGGGAGAAATTCCTCCTGTGAGCTGCCCAGAGCAGCTGTGGCTGCCCGTGGAAGTGTCCAAGGCCAGGCTGGAAGGAGCTTGGAGCACCTTGGGCTGGTGGAAGGTGTCCCTGCCATGGCAGGGGCTCTCCAGAGGGTGTGGGGGAAGTTTTCCCGGTCACAGCTCTCAGCAGCAAACACTGAGCTCAGCCAGGGGTGTTACAGCTCAAACTGCTCCTGCTTTCCACAGCGAGCCGTGCCCGGACGGGTTTGGAGCAGATCCAAGGTGTATTTGCTAATGGAACAGGAGAACTGAACTCATTTGGTGGATTTTGCATGGCCAAACAACATTCACCAGCAGGAGATGGGAGCTGGGGGAGCTCCCTGCCCTGCCCAGGGCTCGGTGACACCAGGAGCTGTTGGTCCAGGACCTGGGGCTGTGTTATTGTCCCTCATCCCAACCAACGGGTTTAACAAACACAGAATGACTCCAGGAGTTCACACGAGGTGATGAGGGATGGAAAAGCAGGAAAGAGTGAAGTCCTGAGGAGTTTGCTGTGTGTGGAAGGCTGGGCAGGGTGATGGAAATGAAACCCCCAGGCAGGGAGCTTCTTTCTGAGGCTGGGGTCAGGCAGGGACACCCAGCTCCACACGGAGCAGGTACCTGGGAGCTCTTCAGAGGGGAGCCAGGGGCTGTGCCAGGGCTCCACGTCCCTGGGAACTGCAGCTCCATGTGCCAAGGTGCCAGGGCTCCACGTCCCTGGGAACTGCAGCTCCATGTGCCAAGGTGCCAGGGCTCCATGTC